CCCCAGAATCTCATAATTTCCATCCCATGCTGTTTCACCGTTTCCTCCAAACTTCTGATGTCATTCTCTCTTTGCATCTGCTCCAGTCCCATCACCTCCTCGCCATGGCTCTCTCTGGCACTTCACAGATTCCTTTTCTCTTCCTGCTTCTTGTTCAGGTCTATCTCTCTTCTCTCTGTCTGAACCTGTTGGAGCTGCTCCTTCTCTCTCTACCTCTCCTGGATTCTGCCCTTGTTGAAGAGGGGGATCGTGGGGTAGCAGTCGCTCCAGCACCCGCAGGCTGTGGGACTGGGTGGGGGATGCAGCTCTCTCTCCTGCTCCGTTCCTTGTGGAGCTACTGACTATAAGCTACAAAATGACTGGGTTAATACAGGTGTGGTTACTAAGTGTTTGATAAATACCTGCTGTGGGCTATTAATGTTGTACCTGCATTGTCTTCCACTGCTTTTTGTTTCTCTTCATCTTTCTTACTTCTGCTTTGTCCTCATACAAATGTTGTGTTCTGGTTTGGAAGATCACAAATAAAAAAACATACATACCAATTTATAGTTATTGGTTTTGTTTAAGGATTTAACCATTTCACCATCCACTGTGTCATTATTAGAAGAGTGAATGAGAAATAGTTTACACTTCAAATTAAGCATGAGGCTGTCATGTCAAGCAATTTCAAATGTTGTCCAATTAAAACAGAATGATTATTGTCATTTCCCAAAACACAGTGTACTGAATTTTAATCCTCATGTGTGGGAAACATTAATAAAGCCTTTCATATCTACTAGGGCTTACTGATGGGAAGTTCAGTTCATTTTTCCAAAATGGTTCTTGGTGAAATATGAAGAGTTTAATGCTTATGCGTTAGCTTGGGACTAACTTAGGAAATCTCATTCGAGGCACTGGCAGGAATCAGTGCTGTGCTATTGGATGGATACAGAAGGCTATGGTTATGATGTGCATTAAACCATTTCTTTCTGCATTAAACACTGCAGTGGCTAATGTTTACTCAATTTTATAACAAAACATTATGCATTTTAATTTAATTTCAGTAAATTACATAAACCTAATTTATTTTCAGTGTAATTTTTCAGAACAGCTGACATCTTAAAAACTGATTAGAAAATTCAGAACAATTGATTCATTTTGTTTGAACATTTCAAGTGATTTGGAATAGGCATCGCTAGTGCACAGTGGCATCAATAAATACATAACTTTAAGTTACAAAGACAAAAAAAAGACAACAGACACAAATAGTGCTGCACCAACAAGCAGCCAATCCTGAAACTGCCGAGGTCTGCTTCTTAAATACATTATCCAGTCTGGAACAACTACAGGTAACTTGTGCTATCACAATAAATTAATAATTGTTTTAATAATAAACAATTTATTTAGTTTCGTTTAAAAAACATCCTAAACCATAATTGAGTTTTCAATCACATACACTAGGATATTACTATTAAAAATAAGTGTTCGTACAAAAATACAAAGATAACCAGTGACTCCCCCGCTCAGAGTTGCACATTTATTGGTGCCAGCGAACTGGAAACTACAACTCCCATCAACCCCCAGTGCTGGGTTCTTTGACAAGGAACAAGTGGGGTGCATTTTATGGTAGGAAATGCATTCCCTTTTAAATCTAGCTACGCTGTTATTAAATCCAGAAAATATGCAAAAACTAAGCTTTCTGAAGCGGTGAAGCTGTAAAAACTGTATTTAAATGGGTTCGTTGCTCGAAGCTTTTAAAACCAGTGCACATTAATGACACCTGGTGGTTAAAATCATGAACATCAGCTCTGTCCTGGGAGATGTTAAAGGATAAAAGTCCAAATCTTTGTCTTCTAGTGTTTTACAAGTTTGTAATTCGTTTCTAAAATACTAAAGGTAATTATATGGCTGCGTTATATGATCAAAAATAACATCACTTTAGAGGCGATGTTTACAGCTGGTATTTATAACAAATCTCTTGACAAACTCATGTATTTCCTTATTCACTTGTAATTCTGTCTTACATATTCTTTCATAGTCAAGCTGTGGGCTTCATATATGAAATCGAAATCAAGACATTAGCATTTGGTTGTGGCTTAAAGCCATGAAAACCTGCATCAGTTCGTTTCTGTTAAATCAGTTCCAGAAACTGTGTTTCTGAAATATGAATCAAGCATCGATGCAGCGCCTCAAAGTAAAGTGAGTTGGTGTTTTGACACATGCTCCGAAGCTTCAGTGTCAAACATCACTAATAATGCATTTTGGTCTCAAGTACATATTACTAAAACATTTCATCTATGGGACAACATTTTGTGGTAGACCTCCTGCCAGAAAATGCATTGCCTCTTAAATCTGGCTTTGTCCGTGTTATATATATGGAATTGAGTAAAAAGTAAAAAGTATTAAGCGACAGAAATACTCAAGTAAAGTACAGGTACCAAAACAATTACTTAAGTACAGTAACAAAGTACTTCGTTACTTGACATCTGTGACAGTATGTACAAAATGCTGCTGGTAGCGTCTTCACCTATTCTAAGAAGACTGACCATATCACTCCCATCCTCACTGGTTACCTGTTACATTCTGAGTTCAGTACAAGCTTCTTATTATTACACACAAAGCTTTGCTCCAGTTTCTCCATTTATATGTCCCATCCTGTAGCTTACAGTTGAATAATTTAGACCTTCTCCAAGGTTCCAAGGTTCAAATTGACTTCTATAGGTCGATCATTTAGTGTGGTAGCTCCTAATTTATGGAAACTCTCCCCAAGTGTATTCAGGATGCCTCCTTTCTATCTTCATTCAAATCTCTGTTAAAGACATATTTATTTACACTATGCTATAAGTGTTCCTGCTGTCTTTGAATGTAAGGTCTACATGTGTCTGACAGTCATGTCTTTTTGTTGTTAATTGTGTACTTCCTGTTTAATGTGTTCATGTTCTATGACTGTAAAGCCCTTAGGCATCGGAAAGACACTATATAAATAGAAGTGATTATGTTAATTTTCTTGGCTGCTTAAAGGTGCAGTGTGTAAGATTTAGGGGATCTATTAGCTGAAATATAATATAGTATACAAAACCATGTTTTCATTAGTGTATAATAATCTGTAATCACCAATTGTGTTTTTGTTAGCTTAGAATGAGCCCTTCATATCTACATAGGGAGCAGGTCCTCTTCCAACAGAGGCCGCCATGTTGTGCTGCCATGTTTCTACAGTAGCCCAAAGTAGACACACCAAACACTGACTCTAAAGAGACCCTTTCACGTTTCTATGTTGTAGACGCAGCTTAAATTTGGTGGTGCAATAGCATCGTTTGGAAGACGTAGAAAGAAGAATCAGTGGTTGCTGCCAGTGTTAGCTAACCATTTTGTGTTGTGAGAAGTTTGAGAACCCAAATTTTGACAAATGGGGGATCATAGTTATTATACAGCACAAGAAAAAGTAAAGGAGGGTGAATGCTCATCGTCAAAAAAGTGAAAAGGAAGCAAAATGAAATCGGGACAGGTGAGGGCAGAAAAACTGATGGCCACTGTAGGTTCTACTACATGCTTGGACAGAGAGGGGTGATAGAGGGGTTATTCAGTTGGTCACAATCTGCAACCTCACTGGTTGATGCCACTAAATCTTACACACTGCAGCTTTAGGTACTGTTGGTGTGACACCTTTTGGCAAACATCAATTTAAATCAATTTAAATCAATTGTAAATTAATCACTTGCTCACAATTCAAGTGACATTAGTTTAACTGAAATGTGCTTATCTACATTTTTGCGCTGAAATGTCAGATTTGTTGCATCTGACCCATTCGCCTCATACAGGTGGCTTGCAGAGTGGAACAGTTGGAAAGATAAAGTGAGACCCTGTGTCAATTTCTAAAATGCATAAATAGCCCATAAGCAAAGAACAGACTGAGAAAAGATGACTCACATTTTGGTGGTTTTTAATAGTTATCAAAACAACGAACAGGCAATTACATAATGACTGACAAATCTACTTTAACGCTTCTTATAATTCTTATTCCAGTCTTACAATGAGCTCTTTTGATACATTTTATTTAAAACTGCAGCCAAACCCATAATGAGGTTGCACTTCAGGATAAACATTTATGCGTATTTAGCACATACAGGAACATCTAAATACAGCGCCACTAAACGGCCAGGTCTCACTTGACCTGACATTTCACTGCGGCTACACCTGAACCCCCCCTATTTAATTACTCACACTAGGACCTCTATTTTGACGGGTGTCAGTGAGATCACGTGACAACGGGAACGCGCCAACAGCGGTGAAGGCTGTAGCTGGAGCAGCACAGGCGGCAGCGTACGAATCCACTGTGTTCTGTTACCAGTGACGGCAAAGTGAGTTTATAAAAGTTTAGTTTTTTCATGCAGTCAGGATGAGCGTTTTATAGGGTTCGGTTTAGATTAGCTGGTGTAAACAAATCTGAATTCGACAACGATATGAGATCAATTTGATTGAATAATGTGACTAGTTACGCCGACTCCTCAAAACGAGGCTGAAGTTGGCTTCCTATTCGCCGGCGTTTTTTCCGAATTTTCACGTTCCACCTTAAATTGCGCAGCAGTTACATTCTTGTGCCCGAGGCGTTATAATAACTGCATTCATTTAAGGTGGAACGGGAAAACATAAACAAGAAGCCGACTTCAGCTTCGTCTCCTCAAAATAAGGTTAGCTAACGTTAGCTACGTTACTAACGTTGGTGACTGCTGCTCGTTCATATTGCTCCCTGTATTGAATGTAACTTATTTTTACCGGTTAGCTCCTATCGCTACGTAATATTTTTACTGTCAAATCATAACCGATTAGTGTGTGGTAATTGCTCACTAGTCACTAATAAGATAATTTAGCTTTAAAGCGAGTTAACATACCTCACAGTGTAACTTAGAAGCTCTTACATGGCACAGGCTGACGCTTTTCCTGGCTAGCTAGGTTAGCTAACTACGTAGCTAAGTAACGTTAACGTAATTTGCATCTTTTCCTTCCTCTGAAAACGGTGTGGTTAAATTTAAAGGAAGTGGTGATACTGCCTCTTCTCTTTTGTTCAGCTATTGGCTGCACATCGCTGTTTGGCTAACATTAGGAAGGCGAAATTGTTTTTTGCTTGACCTGAAAACTTTAAGACTAGAGAAAAGTGATCGTACAAGTGCTTTCTGAATTCACATTAACCTTCATCGTCTGTTTCTCCTAGTCATGGCCGTGAACGTCTTCTCTACATCGGTAACCAGTGACAACCTTAGTCGCCACGATTTGTTGACATGGATCAACAACTCGCTGCACATGAACCATACCAAGGTCGAGCAGCTGTGTTCAGGTCAGTGAATATGAGCCTTGATACAGGGATAAAAATGAGTTGAGTTGAAGGGATACGTACTTAAATGTATTTCAATGAAAACTAAAGACACACACCCTGTGAAACAGCTGTTTGAGACCTAGACATTTTGTCTTGTGTGAAACAGTAAGCTATGCCTATCCTGCTATATTTGAGGCGGTAAAAGTGCTTCATTTATGTAGCTTTTACTTGCAGCCAGTAAAGTGATGACCATTCTCTAGACCTTTGTCTCTTCTCATTGTTGTTGCTTTTGCTACTGTCTTTTAGGTGCTGCCTACTGTCAGTTCATGGATATGTTGTTCCCATCTTCTTTGCCCTTGAAGAAAGTGAAATTCCAGGCCAAGCTGGAGCATGAGTATATCCACAATTTTAAACTCCTTCAAAGCAGCTTTAAAAAGCTCGGGGTGAACAAGGTGAGTAACGCCAATAACACGACTCACTTGGCCTGAAATGTGGCTAATATTATTCCTTTGGTCAAAAATAAAGACAACATGCTGTTTTTCTTTTCCTAAAAATATACCCTGTTCACTTCTTATTATTAATTTACTTGGTCTATTTAAACTCTGCTCTTTACAGATTATCCCCGTGGACAAGCTTGTGAAAGGGAAATTCCAGGATAACTTTGAGTTTGTGCAGTGGTTTAAGAAGTTCTTTGACGCTAACTACGATGGGAAGGAGTATGATCCAGAAGCAGCGCGGCAGGGACAGGAGGTCGCTGCCTCAGAGCGTCCGGCTGCAGCAGTGGCAAATAAAGCAAGGAAAGGCAGCTCAGGTGAGGAGAAATACTACTGAGCCAAGATGGAAAACACCAGTACAACACCTTTTAGACTATTGTGGCCTACGTGAAGCTGTGCAATATAATTTATGAAACTGAAGCTTATCCATGTAATACGCTGTGTAGGTTTTCTGTATGTATTTTTCTTTCTGTACTGTGCCCATTGCTAATTTGGACAACTGGAGATCAACAACTCTTATATTCTTTGTTCTTTAATATTTTTAAGCTTCTCAGACCCCTGAAATATTTTTTTGGAATGATTTCCCAAAGTGTGGCGTGGGTTTTTTTTTTTCTTCCCCCAAATGAAGAGTTTCTACTGGTATTACTTAAAATGTCTCATTTGCCATATTCCCGAATTTGGACGTGAGTAACTCCTGGTCTGAGTTGCATGTTTGTTAATCCTAATCGCAGAGGCACGCATCACTCCAGTCAAGCCAACAGCTCCAGTTGGTAAGATACATAGTGTTTCAAAGTGTTTTCAACTAACTCTGGTTACGGGCACCTAACCTGCTGCACCACCCTTTATTCTCTCACTCTGATCATGGTGTGTATTATTCCCATGTGTTTGTGATTGTGTGAGTGTTGTGATTTGTACTGTGTTATTCTCCAGCTCCACAGCGATCGACCACTGCTGCCCCTAAGCCAGCGCCATCTGCAGCAAGGAGGACGGGGTCGGTGGCTGCAGAGGAGGATAGAGAAGAGCTTACTCAAACGGTAAGGCTTTGCTAGTAAGAATTTACATGCCTGTTAATATTTCAAGAAAAATCAGATGTACACAATATTCCTCTTACCCTAAATATGGTCAAACATCCAAGACCTGTTTAGTGTCTGAGGTTTGCTGCTTTAGTTTTGCACTGGGCTTATGGGACTAATATAGCTAACAAATAATTGAAACATAAACCCAAAATGGATGAACGTATGGACAAAATTCTGGCTTCAACATGACTTGTGCTGCTGTTTTTAGCTATGCAACAAATGTTCGTCCCTTTAGTAGAAATACCATTTCATACGGTGTCAGAAACTGTATAAACAGTTCTGTGGCAAGTGTGTGAAGTTTTAGCCATGCAGTTTGCACAGTGCTAATGTAATTGGTGGGTATAAACTTCCATTATTTCTTTTAGCTACATTAGCTCTGTAGCTCCCATGCAAAACTTTTGAAGCAAACTTAGATCATTGAACACGCTTTGGCTGATCATCTACATTTGGGATAAGGAGAATGTTCAATAGATTTTATTGCTCTCTCTTAAATATAGTTCATGATGAGAATCAATTAAAGTAAGTTGGAATTAAATTAGGAATGATTATGATCAAAAGTTGCCTTACTTTATAAGTATTAGTTTTACTCATTGGTTATCTTTCATCATTTGTAGCCCAATTAATTGCACAGCTCCTCTAAGTCTAATGCTTATTTTCACTGTTCACCAGATCAGTGATCTGAAATGCACCGTCACAGACTTGGAGAAGGAGAGGGACTTTTATTTCGGCAAGCTGAGGAATATTGAGCTCCTTTGCCAGGAGAAGGAGGGGGAGGCTGACCCCACGCTGCAAAAGATACTTGATATTCTGTATGCCACAGATGTGAGTTCCTTGATATTTTAAACAGTTGACAGATAAAAGTTGTTCAGCCCAGTGTATGTATTGTTGACATTTTGTTTTCTTTCAACAGGAAGGTTTTGCGATTCCTGAGAACAACACGGGTGAACCAGAAGAGTTTTGACCGATTAGGCTATGCTAAGCTCTTGGACAAGTGTGCGTGCTTGCACATTTTCTACTGTCATGTTGATTTCTTCGGTCAGCCACCTTTGGCACATTGCTTTTGCACATTGACCTTTTTGAATGTTTTATACTTGGAGAGGTTCTATTTCTGTGCTCTGAAATGTCTTTGAAGTTACAGATTATTTTCATAAAATATTATTATTAATATTATTAAAGGTGTTTCATTGTTGCACTTTCAACAAAAGTGACTTAATGAGAGATTTCTTCACAGGAGACGTTACCTTGTATGAAACAAAACCTTCTGAAACGCATTTTTGGCAGTATCTAGTTTTTGTCATTATGAAGCTGTTCTTCTGCTATGGTGAGGTGTACCAAAGTTCACTTCCTCTAATAAGCTTAGACACCGGATGTGTGATCAGCATCTTTTGTGTGGCCTTGCATCAGGGCATTTCCCTTTTCTTTGGCCTAAAGAATAAGAAAAAGGACCTATTCTGTCTTCAGTCCACAATGACTGCTTGTTCAGGTGGTAGCTAAATAAAGAGGGCTTTATAATTTTCATGCACACCTTCAAAACCACTCTAGATGTGTTAAGAATATCAGACCTCTTCTAGGCTATGACAGGAAGCCACATCTATTTTTTTTCTTTCACACAACTTATGCTGTTTGTGGAGGACACGAACGTCCGTATGTGTTCTCTTCATCCAATTGCTTTGGAGAATAGTTTCGACTACCAATACAACAATACAATGCAAGATTCATCCTGGAAGTTCCAAGCTAAGCATCAAAACCTCACCAAAGCATGAGCCATTACTGTATTGGTAAATCTCTCAACTAAAATTAGCACAAATAAAGGCAATTGTGGTATCAAAGAGCTGTTGAACTCTGGAACCACCAGTTTAATGAACAGTACAGTATGTCACTTATTTGGTCAAGCCAAAAGCAAACAGTGTACAGAACAAACTGAATGGAAGATCACCTTCATACATAATATGCAAATAAACCATGAATGGTGGTTCCTTATTAAAGAGACTGGATCTTCTTGGTTTATGTTTTGTCTGCTCATTTGTACGTACTTGAATTACATTGTATATTTGTTGTAAAGATAAATTATGTCAAGTGACTGCTTAAATGTGAATTTTAACTTGATTATTATGTGATCAAATCTGTACGCATGTGTTTATAAGTGAGGCCCCTGGTGTCTGAGGATCATCTATATCTTGTGCTTGGTTCAAATAAGTTGTTTTTAAAGAAACTTAAAAATGATGTAAGTAAAAACATCTTAAATCTAGTTAACGTATCTAATATTTCTTTTGTTTCTTTGTTAATTTTTTATTCACAATGACATGTTTCACTTATTTTATCTGAAGATAAAAAGTAAAAAAAAGTCTAGAAATTAGTTCAATAATCGACAATCTCAATATGAAAATATCTAAATCAACTGATAAGATAATCATGCTGCACTTTGTGTTTATAGAACAGTAGAGTCGTCACTTCTATTTATACAAAATCCCTCATGCTGTGGGAATTGTGATGTCATCAGCACATCAGTTGTGATTGCTGATATTGTTCTAGAATTCTATGAAGTATCTGTTTGGAGATTTGGCACTGAGGCCATATGTGGCCATCATAAGCTGTCGTGGAGAAGTTCACCTGGGTGTGGGGCTGGTTGGTTTGTGCAAAGAACACTTTGCCTTGCTAGTGTCACCTCTGAAGGGTGGAAGCCAAAGCAAACCACAGCCATGGTAAGTCCACCCCCCACCTTGCTACATAGTATTTTTGGGAAGTTTTTCTTTTATATTTAGCATTTCTTTCGAATCTCATGTGCTGTAGGGAGGGGCACAGGGAAAAAGTGCGTATGGAGATAAGGAAATACCAGCGCCAAGTCATTTGGAGGACCAGATCAATGAGCAGCACCTTCGCCTCATTGAACGAATGTTCAAAGAGGCAAATAAAACAGGAGGCAAAGGTGGGGAAAGTTGAGATATCTGCTACATAGGTTAATCAAATATTGACCTCATTTTCCCTCATAAATGAAATTTTGTATTAGAAACTAAAACTTGTCTAGTATCAGGCAGTATACCAAGATCTAAGATACCTTCTAATAGAAGTGTCCCTACCTGTGTCCCTCTATGTCTGCAATTTTCAAAATTTCCTTGCCTTTGGTTCATCTTTTAAACTTATAGTTCATATCCAAAAGGTTTGGATTTATCTCCTGGTGTGTTAATCTTTGCTTATTTTTATTCTTTTCTCACAATTTTATCTCAGGTCTAAACATGAAGGATTTTAGAGAGGCCATGAAGAAGATCATGAAGGATGTGGAGGATGAAGATATTGACATTATCTTCATGAAGGTGGACTCCAACTGTGATGGCATTCTGGAATGGGTAACTTAATATCAAAATGGGCTAGACTAATCAGATCACTTTGAGCACTGGAATATCCAGGGGAGTGAAGGAAGGAAGTTTTTTCCTTGTGTAATCTTTAGATGCAGAAACTAAGGGTCAGATATTCACATTTCTCATTTGTGCCCAATATTTTCTCTGTGATGTTTTGCGTGTTACTAACATTGCGCTACCAGTGACCTATTTAAACAGGTTCATTTCCGATAAACAGGTTGTTTTCCAATAAATTTAAAAAACCTCTTCATACATTAGTATTATTTCATTTGTGAATCTACAAGCTGTATAACAAGATTTTTATGAAAGCGAACAGAGCAACTAAAGTTGCCAGTGGGCTTAAAATGGTCTCCTATAGAAACCATTATAGAAACAGATCTATAGAAACGGGTATGTGGACTGTTATCAGTCTTTCTTTATTTAGCCTATTAGTTGTTGAAAACACTGAACAGGGCAGTTTATTATTCTTTGGCTCTGTATGAACTGTAAAACCTTTGGCCACCTGAATTCTTTGATAGATGAACTCTTAATCAGTCAATCACAGCTGCATTTCTGAAAAGTAAACATATAGACTACATAAAACTTGGTGTATTTATATGTATAATATGTCCACTTAAAATAATTCTGCATGATGATATACATGTGTTTGATGAAATCACAAATGCACAACAACATTTAAAGGTGTATGCAAAAGTTTGGATGCCCAGTCAAATTACGTTTTGTTGATTTTCTAAGATAAGCGGTTTAGTGTGTGTGTGTGTGTGTGTGATTTTCTAAGTAAAAATAAGTAACACATCCTCTACACAGAACACACTTCTACTTATTTTTGTAACAGTTACTGTTAATTTGCCGAATTTAACAAACTGGGCCAAATAAACACAAAATGTGGCCTGTGCGAAAGCTATAGCACATTTTATGTTTTGTTTTTTACAATTTGTTAAACTCAGCAAATAATTGCAAATTGTGCACTAAAATGTGCAGGAAAAATGCCATTTCAAGTGTTCTCTCCGTAGAGGAGAGAAAATTAACAGAACAGGTAGCTTGACCCAGGGGGTGTAAAAGGATAGCTTAAAAATATCTAAGGGAAACACTGCAGTGCTTTCTGAACTTTACATGCAGATATTGGAATGTGTTAGTGTTTTTAGGTGTGTATTTATTAATATGTCTTTGCACAGTAAGTTGTTATTATTCTGGTACTGTGCAATTGCCATGTAATTTGTGCCTCACTTGTTTTGTTTGAACCAAAATCAATTCAGTTAAAAAATTAGCTTTCTAATGAAAATTGACTTTTAACTTCAATAAGCCACAATTTTGTGCGTTTGATTGATTTCCCAGGAGGATTATCTGGACTACATGTTTCTTGAATACAAACAGAAAGACATTCTGCAGCAGAAGAATCGGCTACTGTACTTCCCCAAACCTCTGAAGATTGTTCCTGCGTAAGTACAATGTCTCCTTCAAATGCTTCTGCAAGAAAAAAGTGTTACAAAACATTATTTCATAACACATTGTCACCCTTACACAAATCCGTACCTGCACTGTTGGACACTTAGAAATGCTTAATCCACCATTAGAAACCTTTTGTTTGAATATTTTCCTTATACAAATCTAGTAACAGCCCCAAGGGTGAATGAAATAATACAGCACAAGTGGCAATACTCTATCACTCTATCGTACTCTATCGTTCATCTATGCAGAGACCACCATGACATCATTGTGCAACTACAGTTCTATTCTTTCCAACACCCTGCTGGTGACAAGAAGATGGACCCTGGAGAGCATGGCACGGCTGTGGGCTCGGTCAATGGTGGCCGATATCTGTCCATCAGTCAAAATGGAACTCTAAGCTTCTGGAGTGAGAGCTTCAAACTACAGCGAACTGTAAATGTGAGTGTGCTTACTATCTACAAATGATCATTTTCTCTGTTGTAGAAGGGGATGAGGTGACAGTGAGGAGCGGATTATTCAAATGGAACTCACTTGCCGTCTGTGGGTTTGCCTTAGTCAGCTAATCAGCTAGCCATGCAAACTTTAAATGCAAAATGTTTTTAAGAAGTTTGAGCATAACGTACATACAGTCCTGTGGAGAAGTACAGCCCTGTGATTTTTTTTTTTACTTTTTCAGCATGTTTGGACATACAGATAGCTGGTCTTCATTTAAACAACATTGATAGATAAAGGTGATATAATTTAACAAATGGCATGTAAAATCAACGTTTTATATTTCTCTTATGTAAGTGAAATAAACAGAAATGCAGTTTCTTTATCTGGAAAAAGTAAATACACCCCTATATATATATATCTCACTTCTTCAGATGTGTTGAATTGAAATCAGGTGCCTCCTCCTGATATCTGGTCTGGTTTGCTTTTTGTTATCCGATTTTGTGGCATCACGCATACATCAAAAGAGCTCTGTGAGGCCCTCAGAGAGAAGGTAGTAGATGCCTGTGAGTTTAAGCTTCCAAAATTTTAGAAATCAATCCTTCCGATGTCCATAAGATCATCTTCAAGTAGAAAATATTTAAATCCACTGCCAACATGTCCAGGACAGGCCTCTCCAGCAAATTTAACCCAAGAGCAGACCGTAACATGCTAAAAGAAGTCTCCTTTGTCTTCGTATTAAGAACCCCAGAATTTCATCACAGGGTCTGCATGTAGCTCTTGCCACTGTGGATGTCACAGTGCATGTGTCTACCATTAGAATGAGATCGCACAAATTTGACCTACATGGGAGGTGTGCCAGAGGAAAGCATTTGCTGTCTGAAAAGAACATCAGAGCAAGACTGCAGTTTGCTAATGAATATCTAGACAAGGACCAGAACCTATGCTATGGACAGACGACTCAAAGATAGAGTTGTTTGGCCACAGTGCTGGAAACCTATTGTTTTTATTCTGCATACACTATATTGCCAAAAGTATTCACTCACCCATCCAAATCATTGAATTGAGGTGTTCCAATCACTTCCATGGCCACAGGTGTACAAAACCAAGCACCTAGGCATGCAGACTGCTTCTACAAACATTTGTGAAAGAATGGGTCGCTCTCAGGAGCTCAGTGAATTCCAGCATGGTACCGTGATAGGATGCCACCTGTGCAACAAGTCCAGTCATGAAATTTCCTTGCTACTAAATATTCCACAGTCAACTGTCAGTGGTATTATAACAAAGTGGAAGTGATTGGGAACGACAGCAACTCAGCCACGAAGTGACAGAGCAGGGTCAGCGGATGCTGAAGCGCATAGTGCGCAGAGGTCCCCAACTTTCTGCAGAGTCAATCGCTACAGACCTCCAAACTTCATGTGGCCTTAAGATTAGCTCAAGAACAGAGCATAGAGAGTTTCATGGAATCGGTTTCCATGGCCGAGCAGCTGCATCCAAGCCTTACATCACCAAGCACAATGCAAAGCATCGAATGCAGTGGTGTAAAGCGCCACCACTGGACTCTAGAGCAGTGGAGACGTGTTCTCTGGAGTGACGAATCACGCTTCTCCGTCTGGCAATCCGATGGACAAGTCTGGGTTTGGCGGTTGCCAGGAGAACGGTACTTGTCTGACTGCATTGTGCCAAGTGTAAAGTTTGGTGGAGGGGGGATTATGGTGTGGGGTTGTTTTTCAGGGGTTGGGCTCGGTCCCTTAGTTCCAGTGAAAGGAACTCTTAATGCTTCAGCATACTAAGAGATTTTGGACAATTTGGGGATGGCCTCTTCCTGTTTCAACATGACTGCGCACCAGTGCACAAAGCAAGGTCCATAAAGACATAGATGAGTGAATTTGGTATGGAAGAACTTGACTAGCCTGCACAGAGTCCTGACCTCAACCCGATAGAACACCTTCGGGATGAATTAGAGTGGAGGCCTTCTCATCCAACATCAGTGTCTGACCTCACAAATGTGCTTCTGGAAGAACGGTCAAAAATTCCCGTAAATACACTCCTAAACCTTGTGGAAAGCCTCCCCAGAAGAGTTGAAGCTTTTATAGCTGCAAAGGGTAGGCCAACATCATATCAAACCCTATGGAATAAGAATGGGATGTCAATCAAGTTCATATGCGTGTGAAGGCAGACGAGCGAATACTTTTGGCAATATAGTGTATTTAACTGCTTGCATACTTCTTTTAAGTGTATTAGTCATGCTGCATTAACATTTCAGTTTTGGACTACTTTTATATGTTATTTGGTAAGTTCAAATGAGATATTGAGATATTTCATACTGTAAATCCCCATATATGCTTTAAAATGTGAATTATTTTTTGTAGTCATCCATCTGTTCACTGGTGTGTCCATCCTTTGCACTTATTTATTGTTGTGTGTGTAGCTGACTGTGCTCACTGAATACTATTCAATAGATCAGTAAGATGGCACACACTGCTGGCCAGCCCATCTCGGTGACAAACATGCTCTGCTTGGGTAACATCAACCAGCTCTGTATCTCATTTTCTGGTCGTGATATAGGTGAGTATGTTGGTAAGGTTCGAATAATTGGCCTTGAGTGAAAACAGCTCATTTGATTTATTTGTATTATTATATGAGACTTAGCTCTATATACTATATACTGCAATTCTGTTCTATTATAATTTAGACTAGTGGTGCCCAAAGGTGAAAGCAGTACAAGAAATATAGACTGATTGTCCAGTCTCTCTTCTTATGTTTGATCTATGTGTGTTTCTAGAGTTCTATGATGTTAGCGTCAGTAAATGTGAACTGATTTACTCTCTGTCTGGGCTGGAGGCCAACGTGTTGGTGATGGACTATTGGTAAGTGCTCAGTCACCTCTTAGGTGTCCACTATAGTGAAACACACCATGCTTAACCAGAACAATCCCATTGCACATTCAGAGGGTAATGTGCTGACAGTCAAAACAGTTGGAAAAATGTAATGTAAATACAAATGGCGCAATGCTACTTTCTTTTCCGATACCATCTAACATCCAAGCTATTTTTAACTGAAGAACATCTAAAAATAGGCTATCAAGTTGAAACTGCTCAAACACAATACTGCCTCACAGAAAGTAAATACATCTTTAAATGTAGTATAGTGCAGTGCCAAAGCGATTAGACAGTTATTTAAGAGTGTTCTGTATTTTTCACTTCTGTTTAAAAGCCTTCTTTCAGTGCTTAGTTTTGTTACAGTTATTTAACAAAATTGTACTGTAATACAATGAAGTCTGTCGTTGCTGTTCAGGACTGATGGGAAGAGAGGAATTTACTCATTTGGAGATTTCAACGGCACTGTTTTCATATTCACTTCAGCGAATGTGGTGCAGAATGGTCTGTTCAACAGTGTAGCATTTAAAGCTGGTATGCAGAGGTCTTTATCACGCTTACTTACAGTATCCCATTCAGCAGTTTTATGCATTTTTACGGTAAAATAACATTCTCATGTCTCTGACTGTGCTGAAGTGTTCAACTTTATGCAGTGTGAATGAAGGGATGTTTTCATTATTAATATTTTATTTTTTTTAACCTGTTTTCTTTTGAGCTGGAAACATACCCCGCATAGCTGTGAGCAACCTACTGAAGAACAGCTGCATTCCCTTTCTCTGCTTTAAAGTTGTAAGTAAAGAATTCTGAGCAGTTAATACCTCCTTTTATAATCCTCCGTATTAAGTTCAGAAGATGAAGGTTTATCGGTGAAAAATAAAGTGAAAATATTTAGAGCAGCAGAATATGTAGTTGCTTGTAGAGCCCTGATTTTTATTTGTGTGTGTGTGTGTATATATATATCAATTTAATTAATTGTTAATGCCCATTTATTGATGCACAACTTTTGGTGGCCATCCTCAACCCTTCAACAGCGACTTTCATTCAATATATATCAATGTTAATTCCATATATATCAAAGTTTATTAAATATTTCCTGTTTGGCTTGTGTATATATATATATATATATATATATATATATATATATATTAGGGGTGGGAATCTCTAGGCACCTCACGATTCGATTCGATTACGAGGGCTGCGATGCGATTATAAAATGATTATCGACGCATCTCGATGCATCTTTTTTTTCTATATAGCATTTCTATTTTCTCACTGTGTGAGCTCAAGTTTCGAGTTTATTTGTCATTTGCACAACATGTCAGGATATTTATGCATTGAAATGCTTGTGGTGAGGCTCAGCTAATCACTCTACAGAAAGTAAATAAGTAAAAATAAAAATACAAGAAAAACCAACTGAAATATATTAAATATACACAAAATATACACAGAATATAGAGACAATATACATTTTAAAGTGACTAAGTGAGTCTGTGTTATTGTTATTTAAAGTGACTTGGTACTTTTAAAGCAAAGTATTTGTAATGATCCATAATGAATTTACTTCCAATATCTTTTTTAATAAAACAAATGGAAGTGATGTGGCAGGAGAACTAGAAGGCTCTCATTCAGTGCTCTCGTTTGGAGATGCTGCTGCTACTCATCTGCGATAAAATGCGCAGTTACGGTGAAATAAGATCCAGTGGTGATGGATGTCCACGCAGCACATTACAGCTATTCTACCCGTTTTCTTTAGTGATTTTATAACTTCGGTTTTGGTCTCGTTGTAGAGACGAGGGGGTGGGGGGGGATCGCTGTGTCAGTAAAGTATCTTTGAGACGAGGCGCGTGCAACATAGTGCGAAAGCCCTGTTTCGCAACGACTGAGAACCAGTGTGCAGACTGCAGCTCACATAGCAGCGATGCATTATTCGCATTTATAAGCAGCGCAGTTGGTTTCCTGGTACGTTAAATCTGCAACGAGAGACTGTCAAACAGTAAACAGTGGCGAAGCTGAAGTCACTTCTCTTTCGAATTCTCCCGTTCCACCTTAAATGGTGCCGCATTTACATTCGACGCCGCAGTTAGAATTTAAGGTGGAACGGGTAAATTCGAACAAGAAGCTGGAGAATAAGAAGTGACTTCAGTCTCGTAAAACAGTCGTTAAGAGACATTTAACTGATCTACTTCTGAGGAAAAGTTTTCTGGCCGAGATGGGAGGAAAGCGGCTATAGCTAAAGCTTAAAGCAGAGCGAAGTAAGTCCGCGTTTCCGTTTACATTGTTTAGCCTATACTAGGATATCATCACATACTGGACATTAAATGTTGCGGCTCCCAAGGTGGTTTGATTTTTGTTGAAAGGACAAAATGTCTCTTCTTATCATTTGTGTTGTGACTCCTGATCTAACCTGGCTTTAATGCAGAGGGAGCCGGTCGGATTTTTCGCTCATCCAGTTGTGTTTTTGTTATGTGCCGCCACAGACTGGCCGCGTGCTCTACTTCCGCATTTCCAAGTTCCGCCTTTTGCGTTCCGTCAACATTACGTTATAAACTAAATATTTAGAAAATCGATTTTTGAGATTTATGATTCGATTCAGAATCGTTCACGTCCGCATTGCGATGCATCTAAGAATCGATTTTTTCCCGCACCCCTAATATATGTGTGTGTGTGTGTGTATATATATATATATATACATACATACATATATGTATAATATATATATATATATATATATATATATATATATATATATATATATATATATATATATGTTCGCTATTCCTTGACTTAATTTTCTTCTTATTTAACCTCAGTTTCTATATTTGTATTCCTGTATATAAGAATTTAGCATGTATTTCATTTCCTTTAATTGTTTTGTTTATTGTGTGTGTGTGTGTGTGTGTGTGTGTGTGTTTGTGTGTGTGTGTGTGTTTTGTTTATTGTTTATTGTTTTCTTTTTTGTTACTGTTTTATATTATATAAGGCTGCCTTGTGATACAAAAGTTGCATTGCTGTTCATCTTTTAATCATTTTTCATCAATCACTCCTTGACTCCATCTTATTTTCTCATGTTCAATAGCCGCTCCATAGCGTCTGGATCCGTCAGATCCGCTATATTCCCGATCTGAACTCTGTCGCCACCTGCTGTACTGCAGACCGCACTACCATGGCCCTCACTACAGTGCCCCACTCCAGCATATGCAAAATTGAGTAAGAAACATGTTTATCCCCCATAGCTTCTGTATTCTAGTCAGGAATGTTTTGGACCACACGTCATGCTTCATTTGGGGCAGAAGAGGATCCCTGTAACACTACAAAGGTTTATTCTGAAGAAAACTTTATCACTTATAAATATTTGTGTCAGTATTGCTTTAATAATAATGCCATTTCTCATGCCTTTTATCAGTTTTGACATTGATATGATGTCAGTACTCATCAGCGCTCACTCCTTTCAGTTGTTAAAGCCACTTTTAGGCCAGAAGATTTTTTTTAGTTCCTTTTGACAATAGTTTGGACAAGAAAACTGCCAAAATAATAATTATCCAAATGCTTCTCTTCATAGCGAGTAATATTTGCTGAACATAAAGCTGAGTGTTGAAAAATATCCTTAAATGGTAAATAAATGCTTTATGCTAGCAATACCTGGTATTTTTCTTACTCCATAGAAATGTAACTGAGAATTCTCAAATTTTGAAAGAAGATAAATTATCCCAAAAATGTGCACTGCACTAGCCAGTGTAGGTCACTGCATATTGTTAAAGGGGAATTCTGTCTGTTTTTTAAACTTTCTGCATAAATCTAGTGGTTGAGACATAAACAAAGTCATTCAGAGTTGTTTGATGTGAAATGTTTCATTGTAGAGAAGTCTACCATGATAGGGACCAGGAATTGCTATAGTGTACAGTACAAGTCTACAATACAAATAAAGCTATTTTTATTTACTATACAGAATCACCAGTGAACCTTCACATGTCTTCTGAGTTTTATTTGTAATGTTGATAGTGGTAAAATAGTGGTAAATATGAAGGAAAAAATGTTTTTGGCTCAAAGCACCCTGCATGTGTCTCTTCACCATGAATGGATCTTTAAAAATATGTTTTAACTAATTTCATGTAACAACTTTCTGTGAGGGAGGCATTTAACAGACTCAGTAAGTTTCTGTAGAACAGAACATTTCACATCAAACCACTCTGAATGACTTTGGATCTTAACCGTTTATTTGTGCAGACATTTTTTAAGGATTAGTGGAATTCCTCTTTAAGCACTAATTTAAGCTTATGTTTACATGTTTACAGCACTGCCCGCTTCCATGTGCAGATGGGCATTATGTGCTTCGATTACTCACCTGAGTTCAATATCCTGGGTTTGTATACTACATACCTAATCATGCTTGATAGTCGGTTTATAGAGGTTTATCGAACGCATTGAGTTTCCTGAATGTTACCTTCATGCTGCTCATTAGTGTTTGTGTGCTGCTGCAGTGACAGGAGGTTTTGATGGAGTAATCCGTGTGTGGAATCCATATGTGACCTCTCGGGCGACATCTCAATTGAAAGGCTGTTCTGCCGCCATCACGCACTTAATGGTGAATGGCAAACAAAACATAGTCATCAGCGTTTCCAAAGACAAGGTGAGTCAGACTATTCTGTAGATTTTTTTCTGATATTATGATGCTTTTTTTTTTTCTTCTTTCAGAACCACACATTTTCCCTGTGATTTATCATTGCTCTGTGTAGTTTATTTTTATTGTGTAACCTTTTTTAAAAACTCTGATTACTCAGTTAATTTTCCAAATAATTGGTCGATTACTTGATTACTGATATAATTAATAGTGACAAGTTCATGCTCTGTTTATGAAACAGTCTTACGGGGGCCTGTGTTTGTGTATGTGTGTGTCCATTTTAGAGTGTGTGTGTGTGGGACTTGCAACATTGCAAGTGTGTGCAGAACATCCATCCCAGGAACATCAGATTGGGTCGATTCCCCATCTCTTGCACCTACTACAACCACAACACCAACACTGTTGTTCTGGCTACATACAACGTAAGTTCTACTACAGCTACATGATGCAGTTTTCTTATGTGGAAAAAGTAAGTACACCCCCATGTATATCACTACTTCAGATGTCAACTTTAAATCAGGTGCACCCAACCAGGTGCTAATTATTAGAACACCAAATATCCAAAATATTGTAAATCAGTCGTTTCACTGTCCAGAAGATCATCTACAAGTGGAGAAGATTAAAAAACACTTCTAATTTGTCCATGCCAGGCCATCCTAGCAAATTTAACCAGAGAGCAGACCATAAGATGCTAAAAGAAGTCTCTGAGAACCCCATAATTTCATCACTGGAGGTAGCTCTTCCCTCTGTTGATGTAAAAGTGCTTGCATCTACCATTGCAAAAGACTTCACAAATAAGACCTACATGAGAGGACCACCAGGAGGAAGACTTTGCTGTCTAAAAAGATCATTGGGGCAAGACAAAAGCTTGGTAACAAACATCTAGGCAAGGACCAGGACTTCTGGAACAACATGCTATAGACAGATGAGTCAAACATAGAGTTGCCTGGCCATGGTACTTAAAGACATGTTTGGCAAAAAATAGCAAAAACAGCATTTGATCAGAAGAACGTCATAACAGCTGTAAAGCAAAGTATGGTGGTGGAAATGTTATTGTTTTGGGCTAATTTGCTGCCTCAGGGCCTGGCCAACTTGTAGTCTTTGAATTAACTGTGAATTCTTTCATACCGGAGAGTACTTGAGGAGAATGTGAGACCATCCATAAAAAAGTTGAAGCTGAAGAAGTGGACCTTCAGCTTTAACTTTTTTGAAAGTTGTATGTTTGGGATCATGAAATCATGATCAAAGAGAAAAAATCAACACTTACATCGCTCGTTTGGAGACGAATGGACTTATTCGCATTTATAATCACTCCAGCTGGTTTCCTGATACGTTTAATCTGCAGCGAGAAACTGTCAAACACTAAAAAGTCGCGAAGCTGAAGTCAGCTTCATGTTCAAATTTTCCCATTCCACCTTAAATGGTACAGCAGTTACATTCTTGCACCTCAGGCAGTATTTAAGGTGGAACAGGATAATTCTAACAAGAAGCTGGAGAATGAGAAGCGGCTTCAGATGTTGACAGACATTTTACAAGTAACTGTTCTACTTTTGAGGAAAAGTTTCCCGCCAGAAGTGCAAGAAAAGTGGCTATAGCTGAGCTAAAGCTTAAAGCAGAGCAAAGTAAGTCTGCGTGTTTGTTTATATTGTTTTGTAGCCTGTACTAGGACATTAGCACATATTGAGACATATTTACAACCAAGATAGTAAAGTGGACATAAAATATTGTAGCTCCCGTGGTGGTTACATTTTTATTGAAAGGACAAAATGGCTCTTCTTAACATTTGGGTTGCTGACCCCTTGCCTAATCAAAGCCCAGATCTGAATCCCATTGAAATGCTGTGGGGGATTTGAAACAGGCTGTACCTGCAAGAAATCCCTCAAACATTGCACTTTTGAAATAATTCTGCATGGAGGAATGGGCAAAAATGTCTCCCCATAGTAGTCAGAAACTTGTCGACAGTTATAGGAAACACCTACATAAAGTTATTTCTGCTAAAGGGGGCAGTACAAGTTACTGAAGCCAGGGGTATACTTACTTTTTTCAAGAGACAAAAATTAGATTTTTTTTTTAAATATATGATTTCGAAGTCAGATTTCCATTGTTTTTGTTCTATTACATAACGCTTATCTATACTTACTGTTTGTCTGAAGATGAAATACTGATATGCCCACATATAAAAAAAAAAAAGAGAAACATTTCATGGGGTATACTTACTTCTTCACATTAATGTACATACAAACTCTCACACAAAACAGCATCCTGTTGTTTATATGTGTGTTTTTGTATTTGTGTGGTAAATATGTGCAGATTGGAGTTCTTCAAGGGCTTGTGGATGGCAAAGACAACACCATGGCTGAAACAGTGACGTCTCATGAGCAGCCTGTCTGTGCAGCTCTGTACAACGCTAACTTCAGACAGGTCAGACATCAGCTGAGCAAGATCAGCAACTGCTAGACAAAAACTAAATCCATCCATTCCCCTGCATCCATCTACCCATCTATCCACCCATCTTCCTCCCCTGCATCCATCCATCCCTGCACCTCTTTTTGTATCCATCCATTTATACCATACATCCATCCATCCATTCATTCTTTTTGCATCCCTCCATCCATCCATCCATCCATCTTCTCCCTGCATCTGTCTATCCACCCATATCTGCACCTCTCCATGCCTCCCTGTGTGCACTTCTCCATCCATCCATCCGTCTATGCATCCACTTATCCATCCACCTAGATTCTTCTTGCATCTATTCTTTCATCATTCATCTATCCATCTGTCCTCTCCCTGCATCTCTCCATCCAACCCTGTCTGCACCGCTCCCTGCATCTGTCCTTCCATCCATCAATCCATCTGTCCTCTCCCTGCATCTATCCATCCACCAATCTCTGCACCTCTCCATGCATCCCTATCTACACCTCTCCGTCCATCCATTTATCTGTCCATCCATCCATCTATTCATCCATCCTCCTACATTCTTCTTGTGTCCATCCTGTCATCATTCATCTATTCATCTTTCTACAGCTGTCCATCCATCCCTGTCCGCACCTATCCCTTTATCTATTTATCCATCCATCCAGCCATACATACATAAATACATACAAAATCCATTCTGCCTGTCTCTTCATCCCTCCTTCCATCCATCTATTCATCCATCCCTCCCAGAAGGTCTCTCACTGGGCTTCCCTCACCTAATGCATTGCCTGCAGGTGGTGAGTGGATGTCGTGCTGGTGAGGTGAACGTGTGGGATATCTTGAGTGGAGAGAAGGTCATGCAGTTCCAGGCCAACCCCAAGCAGCCAGTGGAGGTGACTGCCATGGCTTTTGATGGCCTAAAGCGGCGCCTTATCACTGCCTCTACAGACGGCATGCTGCGTCTCTGGAACTTTAACAATGGAGCGCTGCTCAGACAGCTCCCTCTGGTGGACAACAGTGAGGTGGGAAACGGCTTCAGTTCTACCTTCAGTTCTAGTACTCAAACTTCCTAATCAAAACTGCTCTCAGATCAGCAGTTGGGAAACACTGAGTCCCAACTTTACTATTCCACCATTCTAACTGAACTGTTTGTTGATTGATAGATTTCAGGGATCCTGTACATTAATGATAGGATCTATGTGTCTGGTTGCAGCAAACGAGTCATCTCATATCTGTGAGTCTTTCACTGAAGTACAAATATCACTGAAAGAGTAAAAGATTTCTCTCTGTATTTATTTTAAATAAACTGAATTGTAAGTTGTACTCCAGCCTTACAGTACCAATTTCACTTGCGTTATCTGTCATTTCACAAACTACTAAACTTGATTACTGTTCTAACAGATTTTATTTCATGTGTTTCCACTGTTGTACACTAGTATTCTTGATCACTTTTATCTGCCTTCAGCTGATTATTTTCTCTCTCTCTCTCTCTCTCTCTCTCTCTGCCTCTGCCCACCGCCCCTCATCTCTCGTTTTTTTTTTTCTTCCTGTCAATCACTTTCTCTGCCTTGATCACTGTGCAACATAGTGATTTTAAAGACAATAGGACAGAGATTGACTATCGTGTATGGAACCAGTACCACACAGAAGATATTTCCTCCATGCATGTTCATGGGAACGAGCTGTTGGTAACATCCTCCTTTAACAGTGACATCATCATCTGGAATGTTAACTCGGGCCAAGCTGTCTGCCGTTTAAACGCAAGCAAGAGTCCACTTTTTCTAGTTCCAGTTAGAGTAAGTGTGAGAATACAAACGTATATTCACTGCACACACTTTTAGTTGTACATTCTGCATATACTGTATGTACTTCAGTACTTGATTGTAACTGTACTTAACTTCCTTTGCATCTGTTATATTACTTGCAAATTGTTTGTGTATTGTCTGTTTTGTGTGTGTGTGTGTGTATGTGTGTATGTATGTATGTGTATATATGTATGTTTGTGTGTGTATATTATAGGATTTAATTTTATGTTGACTCCTGCCTCAAGACAAATTTGTTGTACATCTGGTACTTACGAATAAAGATTGTGATTCTGATGACCTGTTACTGCAATGTGAACCATGTTTGCATTTACATTTTCACATTTCAAAATGTAATATTAAAATATATTATAAATATAGTATATTGTGATATATTTTCAATACAATACAATGCAGGTGATGGATAGTGGCAGTAGGGATACAGATACCACTCAGAAAGTTGTTCTGAATGTCAGTCACACGAAGTCCAGTCGACGCAATATTGTAAGCCCTCCTCCATCCAACTATTCACAGGTGGGAGAACCATTTGTGTGTCTTTTCACTTTCTGTGACATAATGAATAGGGGTTCTTTAGAAACCAGTTCGATGCATTAATAAATATCAAATGACCTCATGATTCAGTGCAGGCATTTTGATACAAAATTAGAATTACTTAAAAAAAAATACACAAATGTGACTGGATGAACTGTTTGCACAGTAGTGAAATATAGACAGTTTTGGATTTGTACATTTAAAAAAAATAGGCAGACAATTTTATTCTGATGAAAACATAAGAGCTTTATGAGTATTGTTATAATCAGTTATAATTGATGCTAACATTAGAAACGTCAGCACCTTCAGAGCAATGCAGGACTGTTTTTTTTACACCCATAATAGTGAGCTATTTTGTAGATGACTTAAATGTACTTTTGTATGTATTTTTCCACATCATCTTTCATTAAAGAGTACATATAAATTGGCTGTTGTTTGTTTATACACACTTTTGTGGTTTTTATTTCCATTTTAACAATTGTAGGGTATGTTTACATATATTGTGTCTTTAGGCTAGGCGGTGTCGCTTCCAAGCTCCATTTCAAAGTGGGTCTGGGATGGATAGGATTAAGGAAGCTCTGCAAAAGCCCAAAGAAGGCAGCGTAGTCAGTGCTGTCAATCTCAACACATCCAGCATAGCTGTAGTGAAGGTACTGGACAATAGTTGTTATTTTTAGGTGTCATGTTGTAGGTGTATTTACTTATGGGAGACTATTAAAATTTTGACCAGATGTAATTATCTTGGGACTTGCTACATGTACTAACTTTCACTTTAAGGACAACTTTGAGAAAACAGTATCACTCGTGAATATCTTAGTGCTACTTTAACAAATACCTGAATAGCACAGATTAGCACTCAAATGTTTCCTGTTTATTAAACCACTTCTGAGGCAAAGTATTTTCAGTATGTGCTTTTAACAATACTTTGAAAACTAGCAAATTGTTATTTAGGTCAAATCTATTCTTCATAACAAGGAAGACACTGTAAAACTGTTAATGTCACCAAAACCTTAGCAGATATTTTGGTCGTTCTTGGCCATACAGTGTCAAATGGTGAAGGTGGGGCTCTATCATTTGCTCCTTTCCATGTAACCACTTTCATCCGCATACAGCACTGTGCAGAAGTTAGAGACCCCCTTTTTACAAGACGAAAATTTGCAAATCAAACAAAGAAGCTGCTGGTGTTCTCTAAACAATGGACTGCCCCCCATAGTCCAGTCCTCAACATCCTTGAATGTGTTTGGAATTACTTGGATCAAGGAAAGCAGGAAATACAAGCAGTGTCAAAGACTGAACTTTGGAGGTGTGGACAAATAATCCTGCAGTTTTTGTTGAAAAACTGAAAGCAAATCTCATGACAATAATGGAAACTGAAATAAAAGCAAAATGTGGACACACTAAATATTGAAGTTGATAGATTTAATTGTTGAATCGTTTGTGCAATTTTCTGTTAAATATGTTTTCTGTCTTTTTTTCTGACACTGGAAATTTAATGACTGTTTTGACTGGAATTTACATAAATGAAGGGCAGTCTCTGACTTTGCAGAGTACGGTGTATAAAGTCAGAAACTCTGAGTTTCATCTGATGTCTGGTCGTTGTAGGCCTCTTCTCATGTTTCTCTTGCTCTGGGTAGGTTTTGTTTTTGAACACTCGTGAGATGAGTCCCGATACAGCCATCCTGCTGAGCAGCGCAACAGATGGCTACGTGTATGCCTGGTCCATTAGCCAGAGTGGGGGCCTCCTAGGGAAGTTCAGGCCAGCCCAGCGAGATGACCTATTCATCAGCTCCATGTCCACTGACTCCCGTGATCAGATGCTGCTGACTGGAGACAGCCATGGATACATCATGGTGAGTAGAAGAGAGGGCTGCAGATGTACATTTGCAAATCTCAGTATAAGATGTAGGACATTTCAAAGCTAAACTATGTATGTTTTGAGGATTTGGAGACCTCTATGGTGGAATGTGTTAGTGCATGCAACATGCAGAACATTATTTTGTAACACTGGTTGTGCTTCGAAACCCTTCACTGAGTGTTTAAAGAGAACTTGGTCAAAACTTTGTGAAGGATGTTTTAGAGGATGTGAGTGAATTATCTACTATTGTCATTATCATTTTCACCAGTATAATGTTGATTTTGCATTTGAGACCTAAACATTGAGCAGGACCTTCTTTTTGAGCTTATGCATGTGACGTTAATACATTAAGACAGATCACGTGTCCTAAAAACGTCTGCAATATCAAACTTGACGCCGCTGACTTTTAAATGACTATTTCAGGCTTTAGAGGGTGACTCGCAGTATCATATGTACACCACATATTTGCATGTTTTTTCCTGATGCAGTAATACTATTTTTTTAAATTATGCTAACAAATCTTACATAGTGCAGTTTTAGAAACACAGTTAGAAGCAGTTTTGGAATCATTTGAACACTGACAGTCTGAGGTGTTTAAGCTTTTGTTGGCTTGTTACAGGTAAAATGCTGCACACTTCTTGGTGTTGTCAGTATCATTTTTTTCTTTGGTAGCTCCCCCAAATATTCTCAATATGGCCTTCTACTATAGGACTGTAAGTCTTAAAGCTATTTGTTTGGCAAAAAATCTAATTTAAATACATATCCCCTTACATTAAAAGTAGTTGGTCAGCTAATGTTTGGTGCATGAAGTTTGTGTACTGTCATGTATGAAAATGACAAAAGTATGGCAAAATGTAGGTTTCAAGATCACTGTACTATTACTATATGTACATGGAATGTAAGCTACATATGTAAGGTGGAAAATTGTGGAAATTTTTTTTCCAAACTAATGCTTTAAAGAGTTTTCTGTCTTTCTTACTCTGTCTTCACTTTCTCTGTAGTTGTGGGACATAGAAAAGTATTGTTACCAAATGCACAGACAGAGTTTGTGCGAAGATAAAAGCCCTGGTGAGGAATCTCTCAGGCTGTGGGAACTCATCCCGTACTACTGCAGGGTGCAGGGTCCTCGTGCAGTGGGGGTGCAGCAGGAGAAAGAGGTACGGGAGCTTACATTCACATGGCCACGTGGCATGGTCAAAGTGAAAAACATGCTAGAAGTCATGTTAGCCATTAACACTAGCTTCTGTGTTATGGCAGGGTATTTTATAACATGCAGTCGCTTTTACATTTTGCAGTACACATCAAAATTACCTTGGAACACATAGTTATAGTTCAGTACATAATCAAATAAAAAAAATAATCTACACTATTTTCTGTTTGTACTTTTGTCCTTTAGCCTTGTAGCTCAGGTGCAAAACTAAAAAAACAACCTTCATGAACCAAACATGTCTGATTGATATATCAATCAGACATGTTTGGTTCATGAAGGTTGTTTTTTTAGTTTTGCACCTGAGCTACAAGGCTAAAGGACAAAAGTACAAACAGAATTCTGACGTCAAGATGGCTGCTACTGCTACTTCTGTGTTTTGCAGTGTAATGTATGTTTGTCCATTTGTTTCATAACAGTATATCCTACTGTGTCAGAAACCACATAAGCAAGTCTATATGAAAGTATTTAAAAGGGAATTCTTTGATTTTTCAAAATGTTGGCATGATTTGATCATTAAGTCGTAAACGAAGTAATTCAGAATGGTTTGATGTGAGATGCTCCATTCTAGAAAAACTTACTGAGTCAGATTTGTTTACAGTGGTGGTGATAGGAACCAGACATCTGAAGAATTTAATGCCTCTACAAGCTACATTGCAGAAATGTATTACATGAAAAGGTTACACATATGTTGCCTTATGTCTGAGACAAGGTTTTATGATAGCTTTGAGATAAGGTTTTGTCCCAAAATATATGTAAATTTCTTTTTCCCCATTTTACCACTCTTTCACCTTTATCACATATAAAAACTCACTGGCCAATTTGGACATTAAATAAATGGCTATACGAGTAGACATCACAATCCCTGGTTCCCATCGTCCCTCACTGTAAAGAACGCAGCTTATTTTCAGGCATGTGTGATAATTTAGGCATGCAGTTTAAAAGATGTTTCCATTACTGGTAAGCTACATTACCTCTGTAGCTCTAGCAATCGTCTTATAAACATGGCTTGGTTGATCAGCTACATTTTGGGTAAGTGAAAAGGATGTAAACTAGATTTTTTTTCCAAATGATCTTTTTTAACACACAACTGAATGCAGAAATATGAATAATGAATCCTTATTAAGAAAGAAATAGATTGAAAACTGTATTTTGAAATTAAATCCTACACATAATCCCTCAGGTGATAGACGGGTGGAGCGTGTCTCTCACCCCTCCTGAACTGCTGAGCTCATGGCGTTGTCACCTTAAAGGAATAGCGCACCTGGAGTATGTGGAACGCTACCATCTCATTATTACAGCAAGTGTAGACTGTAATGTGCGTCTGTGGACTATTGCTGGACACCACATAGGTACACATGCCTTGCTATAGAAGCCTGAGATGGTTTGAAAATTTATGTTGACTTTTTCACATTACTTTTTCCTAGAATCGTATGAGCCAAGAAACGGTTAGGAATCTTTTTTTAAAATTGCACTAATGTGGGCTATACAGGTACCTTTGGGCAGAGTTGTTGGCAAGTGGGCAATCTTGATGCCAGGCCCTATGAGCTGCCTCTGGACCTGAGGAGAGCAGGTTCATTCCAGACCCTCAAAGTGCTTAACAAGGGACGACGTCCACACTGGAGGTTAGATTGGATTACACAGACAACAAATCCACTTTTACTGAAAAACCTCTTCTTTTGACGTGTGTTGGCAACTATACAATTTTCTTTGGACTACAACAGTGGTTCCTAATGCTGGAAAAAATGATATGGAGGAAGAAACAATATTTTGGTAATTGAAAATGTTTTTAGTGTAGTCAATCTATCTAATATTTTTCATTCTGAGATTGTTGTAAGAATATTATGAGATTATTTTACTTTCTAGACATTAAAATTGTCATATTATCGAGTGTAATTGTATTATTGTATTGACAGATAACGTTTCTTGTTTTAAGACATCTAGAGAAATTATTCTATTGGCAGATAATTTTGCTTGTCAAGAAATAATGCTTGAAACACGCAAAAATATAGAATAATTTCTGTAGATAAAATAATTTAAAACAAGATATACAACATTCTTTATTTGTTTTAAATACTTTTATCTGGAGAAAATATTCTATAATTTTATCAACAAGATTTAAGATCATTTCATTTGCCAAGGTATCATTTTTTGCAGAGTGGTCTTGAAGTACCCCTGCCCTGCACATTATTATGTTGGCCTTGCACACACTCAGTTTTGAGTAGGGCTAAATGATTAATCATTTTTAGATCAAAATTACAATTTGAAAGAGTGCCTTTTTCAAATCGCAAGAGAGAGAGAGGAAGTTTAATTATATCCCACAGAGTTTAACATTGTGGGGAATTGGGAAAGTGTAGCCTAATAACAGAGTGCTCTTCAGTTGGCACTCTGGCACACTACACTCAGTGTTCAAGTCGCATCCAAAAAAATGCATGTGCTGGTCTTCTTGGCAAAAAAAAGCCTGGAGCGTAATTTATAGAAAATAATTGCATTTAAATCTTAACTGCATTATTGCTCAGAAAAATTGCAGTTAGATTTTTTTCCCCAAAATCGTTCAGTGCTACATCAGGAAGGGATTCTTAATTAGATGATTAGTTGAGTGAGTTGTGTTAGAGCAGAAAAAAAGCAAAATATGCAAGACAGGAGTACTCCAGGTCCAGGGATGGAAACCACTGCTGTAACAAAGGCAAATGAATAGTCAGTCATGATCAGATCTAAATGCAGGAACACATCAACCATACCTGTGTTTGTTTGTTGGGAGAATCTTGAATGATCTCTCTTCATTTACTCTTGTTCACTTTACTGTTTACCATTACCACTTAACCATTAGTCAGTTTTTCTTCTGTTTTTTTTTTATTTTTTATTTTGAAGGTCTGTCAAGTACATCTTGCCAATCCTGGCATCTCAGAGACGGCATCAATCTTCCATGTCCAAGGAAGATCTTTCGGCTGCAGACGCCAACATCAGCACCTACAGCCTTGAGCAGATCGACCACACCTGGACAGTCAGGCAGGAGAGGGGCAAGCAGGTGAGACTGTGTGCAAATACACTTAATATGTATATATAAATGTACACACATACACACATTAGTATTATGAACACCTCTTTGTAGCGTCCATTTTATCAGCTGCACTAACCTCACAGGAGCACTTTCTAGTTCTACAATTACAGACTGTAGTCCAGCTGTTTCTCTGCATACTTTGTTACCCCCCTTTTACCCTGCTCTTCAATTGTTAGGACCCCCACAGAGCCACCACAGAGCAGGTATTATTTGGGTGATGGATCATTCTTAGCCTCAGTGGCTATGTTAGTGTGTGTTGCGCTGGTACGAGTGGATCAGACACAGCAGTGCTGGTGGAGTTCCTGTGGGGGTCCTGACTATTAAAAAAACAGGGTGAAAAAGGGGGCTAACAAAGTATGCAAAGAAACAGACGGACTACAGTGTGTAATTGTAGAACTAGAAAGTGCTCCTATAGGGCAAGTGGAACTAATAAAATGGAAACTGAGTGTAGAAACAAGGAGGTGTTTGTAATAAAGTGCTCTGACTAATGGAAACATTATGCCACTATGCTCTCATTATGCCCGTCACAACTTCAGTAAAAGTTCTGTCTTGGTGACAAATAATTTCTTGTTTTATGCTGCAATGAAACAATAGAAGCCATGTTGCTCCCAACAGGTTCATGTAGTGTTGCGTTCTCAGTTAAAATTACCATGTGTATCGTATGAACATTACAGGGCAAAACAACTTTTGTCACTGACTAACTTTTGATTAATCGTTGCAGCCCTTGTTCGTACATTCTGGTTCCTCAGTCTACCCAGTTTGGTTTTTACCCAGTAGGTAGCACTTAAGAGCTTTGTTGGTGGCAAAATGAACATAAAACAAGTTTGTTAAAACTATACTGATTTTTTTGTTAAAATTGAAAGAAGTAGCATTACTGAGTCAGGTGGAAAAAAACATGGTGTCCATGCGCTGCTGCAAGTCACCCTGTAAAGCGTGAAATTATCATTTGAAAGTCAGAGTTGTCCGGGTGGATTTTGCAGGACTTTTTCAGACCACGTTATACTTCTTTACATGTTAACGTCACACGCACAGGCTCATTCACTTCCGTCCTCGGAAAATATGTCATTCACCAAGTCGTTCATCCCGTTTTAAGTTATATTTGAAAACTCTAAGCGCACTTACAATCATCAGTTTCATCCTCAAGGGGAAGGGGTTCAAAGCACAACCCATATTACTAAATCTTCTGCCACACGTGTGCAATTACACATTCCCACTAAAACATTTCTCCAAATCTCCAAAACTTACATGATGTAGCTTTAAAGATGACATGAAAATGAAAGTCTTTCTGCTCTTTCTTTGGATTCCATCATTAAAGTCCAGCAGTATTTTGGGAGGAGCTTATAAACAGAAAGAGAGACATCACGTACCATCCTGTGCACCTGATCTATAAAATAGCCTCAGTAACAGAGGGCAGGCAAGCCACATGGCAACCTCTTAATACTTCTGATAACTACTTTATAGCAAATAGGTTGCACCAGCAACACCCAGTTTCATTTAGTCTTTACAGTAATGTACTACACCAAGCTACTTCTCTTTTTAAGCTTACTTAGTACAAAGTACATCAAACCATGGATGGAGTTGGATCTGTGTAATGGCAATTATTGGGAAAATATTAATTTTAATAGTAATTGTCCTTATGAATATTGGTGCCACGAGTCAAAATCAAGCAGACAAAATCTAGACTGTACTGAAAACATGCAAAATACTGTGAAAAATTTCCAGTGCTGTTGCTATGGTTCTTTCATCCATTCAGTAGCAGTCACCAAACCCATTTATCTTCTCCTTTTCTTTTTTCAAAAAGGTTTAAAATCAATGATGGAATAACTTCAACCTGCAAGGGTTTCACTGTCTCTGATTATATGTCACATGTGTTTGTCTCTTTCAAGCTACGGGTCTATAATGCGATGCACTGCACCGATCTCCTTCCCATCATCCAGCACCCCATGCCTGATATTCTAAAAAATCACCAGCAGAGGATGCCCAAGACCTCCAAGACAGGCCATAAGCAGAAAAAAATCCTTTAGACAATGTTCCACCACCCACGACATGGCATGACTTGGGTCCAAAAGATCTGTTACTGGTCACCTGTGCTAATGGCTCTCACAAATGCAAATGATTATTAATGATTATTAGTCCAAAATAACTCCTATTCTTCTTTTATGATACAAAGCTTTTAAATTAACAAAAGAAGCTTACAGGAAAGGAGCTTGGGAAGCTTTTTTGAAAGGTCTTGCATGTATAAAGTGCAGACATAAATGTCATGTGGTCTTCAAAATCTTCCCCCTGGATAAATAAACAGTCATGCCATATGGTTAAAGCATCAGCTTGTGTGTCAAGTATCAGTTTGTGCATCTTGTTACATATTTTATTCCTTTGTATGTACATTCAGAAAGAGAAAGCATAGATGGCTACTGTAAAAAAAAAACAAAAACAAAAAAAACGTTTAGGGCAACACTTTAGTTTCTGGGCACTGAGGCTTCACAAACTAGTTTAACTTTTAATTTTGCAAGATGAATTACTTCTCCCAAGGTTTCAATTTCCTCAACATTTGGGAAACTGTAGGTTGTTGGTTACATGGTTTAATGTCCAGCTTCTGAAGTCCAGGGATCTCCTCTCCGGCTTGAATCATACGGAGCACTTCTGCGAATGAGAGGGGATCACCCTGCTCTGGCACGAATTCCTTATTTGACTGTGTTTGCTCCTCAGAGCCACAAATGTTGTTCCCTTGCCACAAGTTGTCTTTAACACAACTTGTGTCTGTAGCAACTGTGACATCTCCATTTGAGACCGTTTGTAAATCCTGTTGTCCATCACGCCACTTCTGGAAACCAATTAAATCTACTGGCTCTATGAACCTACAACAAATAAACATGGTAGACTGGTTAGCCTGCTTAACCTAATTTGTATTTTCCAGTTTAACTTAAAGACAGGCAATATTGGAAATTCTGACATCACTATTGTTGAAGATATTCTCACCATACAGGATATGTATCATGATATTTAGTTCTTCTGAGGTTTGTGAACAACCTGCTATGTACAGAATGCTCCAGCAAAACAGGGTGACGTTTAAAATTTAAAAACAAGCAGTTTTTATAGCTGTTTTCAACTGTGTAGTTGGCAGAAGCAAACTATGTAATAAGGAACAAAAGGGAAAAAATCCAAAGGAAAAAAATGAAAATCAATCAACTGGTAAAAAAATACGTGAATAACGTAATGGTATATTGAACTTGTTACTTGGTGCTCAAAGGTTCTGTTTCTGTGTGTGTGTGTGTGTGTACGTATACACACTTACTGGCCACTTCAGTAACACAACACCTACATCTTTCATCTTCACTCACACACACACACACACACACACACACACTGACTGGCCACTTCATTAAGAATATCTACCTTGTATCTACACTCTGTCCATTTTATCAGCTCCAATTTGTAGTTTTGTATGTACAGACTGTACTCCATCTGTTTCTCTGCATAATTTTAGCCCTCTTTTACCGAGTGCATCAGACATAGCAGTTTTGTTGGAGTTTTTAAACATCATCTCCACTCACTGTCCACTCTATTAGACACACCAACCTTGTTGGTCCACCTTGTAGATGTAAAGTCAGAGACAGTAGCTCATCTGTTGCTGCACGGCTTGTGTTGGTCATCCTATAGTCTAGTATATAATGTATAGTCCTATAGACTATCCTGTGATCCTTCATCAGTGCTAACAGGACACTGTTGGCCAGATGTTTTTGCTTGGTGGACTATTCTTAGTCCAGCAGTGAAACTGCTGTTTGAAAACTGTCTGATTCTGATCCACTCATACCAGCACAGCACACACACCACCACCACGTCAGTGTCACTGCAGTGCTGAGAATGATCCAGAACCCAAATAATACCTGCTCTGTGGTGGTCCTGTGGGAGTCCTGACCATTGAAGAACAGCGTGAAAGAGGGCTAACAAAGTATGCAGCGCCACACAGACACTACAGCCTGTAAAACTACCTGTAGGGTTAGTGACCCTGACGAAACAGACAAAGAATGTAGAAACAAGAAGGTGTACTTAATGCTTAAAATGCTCAATGAAGTTGCCGGTCGGTATACTCGGAAAAGCATGCCGTGACGGAATTCACTGTAACATACTGGCGACCCTACTGATCTCACACGCAGACTTACTTCAATAACACATACGTACCTGTTATAATAGAATATTTTTAGCTCCAGCAAATCTTTGTTGGGCACTTTCTTCAGACCGTCTTTAAAACGAGCATCACTTTCGAAGTCGTACGAATTAAATCTGCTGTATGGAGAGTCCATTGCAGCGACAAGCCGTATCTCCAAACTAGGAACGACACAATAACGATTATTAGCTTAAGACACATGCAGCTTTCTACATGACGTCTGTCTTTAAATGAAGTGCCATAATCAAACACGAAAAGATCTCATTCTCTTATTTACACAGCCAACCCTGGCAAGTGAATGTAGTTCCGTGGGTGTCCACTAACGCGACCTAACTCAGAATTTCAAAATAAAAGACCCGGGCTTGGGAAACTGCAAACTGAATTTTAATAGCTACATGCAAGTTGGGCCAAATTTGAAAATGGGTACGTCTGTAAGCTATATAGACCTATGACTTATTATTAATTAATTGAGTTGTATTACATTTTACAACAGATAATGTCTCAAAGTAGCTTTACAAAAACCCAGGTCCAAACAAGTGCAACTATGGCAAAAAAAAATCCCTAAGAATATGAAGAAGGACCCTTGAGAGGAACCAAGAATCAAAAGCTGTACCCACCTGGGTAGTGCCGAATAGTCCAGTTTTACTCCAAGTAGTACAAGTTTATAAGTGAGTTTAAATTAGATTTTTTGCAGCAAATGGAAGAAATACTAGCAAGATGAACAAGTGAACCCTAAAAGAAAACTGTCTGTGTTATACAGGCTTTTATTAAATAGTTTTGTATAGGTAATGCGGCATGTATTTTACCCTACAAGGTGATATGATATCCCACTGTTCAACACAGTCCTGTAGTGCACCTGTACTTCACAGTTTTGTTTTAGCCGCATCTCCTTAACAGTTATTTCATGATTAAGTTTTCTTGAGCGGAATCAAGTGTGTTAGAGCAGAAACAACACAAAACTGCAATGCAAAGGTGACTAGCAGTGGAGTTGGAAATGGTGATTTATCCATTGCTATTTCTTTGAAACTTGCCTAACAATTTGCCTAAACTAAAAGATGCCGTCTGCTATGTGTTACCCCAGAGAAACCAACTATTATAGAAACAGTGCTTTACTGGAAACAGTGGACGTGCTTGGCCTGAGGATGAGGATGGACTTGGCCCTTTACCTGTGACTGTACCTGTCTTTGTCAATCATTAATTTCTGAGATCAGGAAGACATCACTCAGACCATCAGAAGCTACCTTAACACAGAGCAAGCGAAACTCTCTAACCGTCCTTTGTCTTGTTTTTGTTCTTATACAATCAAAAGGTTTAACTTGTGTCTTTTCTGGGCTAATTTGTGAAGATGAACTAAATAATAAGTCTAAGGTTGAGGTGCTGTCTACTACTTTGGTGTTTTACATCAAGGCCCCAGAGCACCCTGTTCAATCTGGTTATTTTCTGTAAGGTTGTGTATTCGCAGAACAGCGATGCTCAGGAGAGAAGACAACTGCAGCCTGATGGGGGCTGAAATCCCACTCTCATCAGAGTTCTTCAAAGGTAAGGCATGCTGAAAACATTAGTTTTGCACTTCAGCCTTCTCTTATCTACAGTAGGATACTGCATTGATCCATAAATGTGTGATGAAACACTGAATTATATAACAATGAGGTCATATGTTTGAGTGGAATATAATTGCCACAGTTTTCAAGAGCAAATGATTTTTCCATGCATAAACGTTCAGTTTTAAGTAACACATTAGCCATTTATAATAAGTACTTTCAGCTCTTAAGTGTGCAGCTGATAAATAACTCTCCAATGAATTATTTGATTGTTGCTAGTATTTCTGCTATATTTAGTTTTTTTTTTTTTTTACTTTATAGCATATTTACTTAATTAATCAGTGTTTAATAATTAAGTTGTCAGACCTGCATACAGTGTACAAAGACAATTTAACACAAATGAAGTGGTGTGACATGAGATACGTCTGTTTGACTGTATTGATTCCATTAGAATTTATATGTGACTGCTCTTTCACGACAGTATTTAGTCATTTCCATGGGACATTTCTAAACAAAACAGTAATTTGAATATTATTTAAATGCAACCAATTCTTGCGTTTTCTGAATGCTGCAATAAGAATTAGGTCTGGCAACTTCTCTGCACATATTGGTTTTATATTTCTACATAATACATGTGTCTCAGTGTTCTGCAAATGCAATGTGTTCATGTTGTGTGTCCTCTACAAAAAGTGATTAAAAACGAGCTGTGGTTGTTCCTCATCCCGGCGGTGCTGGCTGTACTGCTGCTGGCTCTCTTCCTGGAGGAGGTTGGCTTCTTCCTCCGTAATGAGCCTTCGTCCAGACGCAGGCGTCTCTGCCTGTGGATCCTGGGCATGTACCCGGTAAAACAACAGCCATGCTAGGTCAAAGTGAATCAGTAGATGGTTTTGTAAAATAATTTGCTTTGGATGCATTGTACACCATATGGCCAAAAATGTCCAGAGTTCCCTTCTAATTGGCGGATTGCTACTTTAAGGCACTGCTGCCACCAACATTAGAATGTGTGGTTAAAGCCATGTAATCTCCATAGAAAAGCACTGCCTGTAGATCATTATGCACAATACTAAACATCAGCTAGAGTAGTGTAAAGCTCCCCAGCACCGGACTGTGGAGCTGTCTTCTTTGATGTGATGCAGCATTAACGCTTGTGGGATGAATCTGACTGCTATTTGTGATCTAGACACAATCAGCCAATATCAGAGCTGACCTTACTTGTACTCTTGTTGCTGAATAGAATCAAACCCCAGCAGCAACCCTCCGTCTAGTGGAAAGCATTCAAAAAAATAAATGTTATTAATGCAGCAAAGATTTTGTAAGAAATTCTGGATAAATATGTGCCTGGATACTACTGGACATATAGTGTACAGATATGGCATATTGCTATTGCTTGGTATCAGTATCAGTATCAATATCATCTGAAAATGTTAGAATGGATATCCAATAAAAAAAAATTAATCCAGTCCAATCCTGTAACAAATCCAGCTGAAATACATACATTCACATTGTGTTGTTATTTGTGTATTATAGCCTACTATAAGATGCTCATCATAAGTGAGAAGCTTCAGTTAAAACAGATTAAAGTGTAAGAACAAATATCAGATGAGTACCTGTACTGGCTTATACTCAATGTTTCAATATTGGTATCACAAAAAAAAGTTGTATTGTGTACCTGCTGTATGTTTTTCTCAGCCTTATTCTTTCTCAGGTTTTTGGAATGACGTCCATCATTGCATTGTATGTCCCTCGGTCCTCCTCACTATGCAATTTTATAGCTTCTCTGTAAGTAAAATTGTGAGTTTGTTATGCTTTCAATAGTTTTTTTAAGAGTGTACAGGTCGAGCAACACAGGGAAGCCCATTTACGAGAACTGTATTATATTGTCTTGAAGGTATCACTCCATCACTCTGCTGAAATTTATGGGCCTTATCAAAAACTTCTTTGGGGGGAAAGCCCAAATGCTGGAAGCGCTGGCAGGGGAACATGTCTCTCCTAACCCTTTCCCATGCTGCTGCTGCTGCTGTCTGCCTCTCATCAATATTAACAGGTAGACAGTTCCATTACATACAAAGATGCCCTTTTTGCTTTGAATTTACACAGTGGAGAACCCCCAGGGCCTTCTTCACCTTCAGAAAAGGTCTAATGATTTCTGTGAAAAAAAAAATGTCTGTAGTTTATAGTTTGTTTTTGTTCAAAAATAATCATCATACTAGCTGGATTTCATTTCTGCAAGTATTGTAACAACAATTATTTCTACTACTCTTGTTTCATTGTTAAGTTTTGTTAGGAAAGTGAAATTCTTGAAACACCCAACAGAAAATTATACAATCAGAATCTTTATTTCTCTGCGCTATCTAGGTAGATACAGCTAAGTGAGTTCTCCCATTGGGTAGGACTTCAGAAGCTGAACTGAAGTCCTAACTTGTCAGATTAACCGGCAGCATAATTAGAAAGTAACACCAACCACTTCTTCATTTACAATGGATGGGACCAATTTTGTGTGAAAAAAACATCACTCTAGGCTTTCTGGGACTCCATATATAATTCTGGGACTAGACATGTCACTGACTGCGAGTATATATGGTAGCCTGACCAGTGCTTTTCAGTCAAGATGAAAACAGTGGCAGCTCAATGTCAGGCCTCTGAAGGAGTCACTGTGAAACTAATACAAAATAAAATATATGTAAACAGATTTGTTACAGACTTCAAATAAAACATGGAATGTCTTTTACAAGCTTCGAATGTCATCCAAAAAATGTTCCTGTGAATTGCTGTTAGTATAAGGTTGACATACTACTAAAATCCCATAAAGGTGCTCACAAAATTAACATTACTGTGGTGGTGTTTTTCCTCTTTTTTGACCAAGATCCGACATTTATGGCCCAAATTTCAGGCCAGGCTCTAACATTCATGGTTCATCACTGGATTATTTTAATAACAAAGGCTGCTTTAAAAGGTGTAAATAGCTGTTTGAGACTGAGGTTAAGTATATTGATCGATTGGACTAACACATGGCCGTCCTGCAGTAATGTAGCAAAATGGCATCTGTGCCTTGTCCTGCTGTGTTACAGGACAAGCCTGGGATGGATGATGGCAGCTGTGCTACAGCTCTCTGTGGTCAGATCACTGCTGTTCTTCCTCACTCTTGTCCTCTGGACAGATGAGCAGTACGACTATGGTGACGTGAGTAAAATATGCCATTTTAGCATGTGCCATTTTGCATTTCAGCACAAAGATGATTTAGATAAATGTAATGGTTTACAAAATTCATAATTTGATTTGATACATTCTTCAGTACAGCAAAAATAAGGGGTGACTGAAAATGTGCCTTATATTAATGCGTTAATGTTTCCATTCCATTTCCATTGTCAGTTTATTGGAGCATTCAACATTATAAGTATTAAGTAACATACTATGTGCACAAAATTTGAAACAAAAGCTGTGCTTTATAGTGTCCCGATTGAATGTTCTAGCCACAAGCTAACACGTTATTCAAGATACAATTAAACAATACGATAAGAAAAGTATAAAAAAGTATAAGATATACTGCCATAAAATTCTACCAAAAGACTGTATTGTATTGTTACGGGCCTGTTAGCTATGTCACTAGCCTACAGTTCATCTTAAGTAGAGTAAGTGCAACCAGATCAGTGCAACCAGATCAGCATCAAATATTACAGTAATAGATATTTATCAGTGAATCACTGCTGTGCCAGGGGTTTTATATTTGTTAAGACATTTACTGTCTCCTAATTATCCATATGTGTTGGTAATTCAGGCCTAAGCTGCTGCTTGTACTATACTGCATATGTATTCAACAACTATATAATTCTATATGATACCATAAACTATAATGCATTTCCCCCATGTCACTTAGGTGGATTCAGTCAATCCCAACGTGTATGTGAATGCCATCATCTGTGTGTCCACCTTTCTGTCCTTCTATGGCTACCTGCTCTTCTACAAGGCAACTAAGAGAGCACTGCATGGCTATGGGCTCCGAGCCAAGTTTATTTGCATCATTGTAGTCTTGGTCTTGTGTGGACTTCAAAGTGGAATTTTGGAAACCATGGGAGCACTAGAAGTTGTGCCATGTACACCTCCCTTCTCTGATCTGTTTCGCTCCCAGTGTAAGTGCTTATTAGGCAAATTTGTTTGGGAATATTTAATTCTTTACGGTAGTGGTGTATAATCCTTGTCCTGAAGTACCCTTGCCCTGCATATTTTTGTGATTTCCCAGCTCTAATAGACCTGATACAACTAATCAGCTAATTAACAAGCTCTTCCTGAAGTGTCTTGAGCTTGGAATCCACTGCTTTATGCTAATTCTTTCTCCCTCTCTGTCTTTCAGTAATCTACCATTACGCTGTGATTGTGGAGATGTTCTGCATTGGCCTCTTTGCTCGGAACATATTCCGCAAAGTGGAACCCAGTCCAGAAGATGCTTACGGACTTGAGGAGGGGATCATGAGCAACACTGATAAGTCTGTTCAAACAGAAGACGAGTTGCCGCTTGCCGTGCAGCCCAGCTCTCAGGCAGAGGAGCCGTGGTGCTCTAATCCTGGCTATAGCAGCGATAGCGAAGACAGCCTGTGCAGAATAGAACATGCCCCACTGGACCGCTTTCCCTTTCCCTTACAGTCCAGGCCTCCAATACTGGCAAACCTAGAAAGAGATAACACTGAACTAACTGAGCAGTGTAAAAGAAAGGAGCCATCAATCATCACTGTCAGTGCTGAGATTAACTGTGTGGAAAATACTGATGTGACTGTTGTATAGAAGCAGAAGCATCAAACTGAGCAAGGCACATATCACCAACATCCAGTCCAACCAATTATTATTTCACTGCAATTTAGGTGCCAAAGTGCGAAAACCAAGCACCGATCTACTTGCATACCTAGATGCTATTAGTGTCTTTTTTGTAAACATATGTTAATACATTTGCTAATAGAGCATGAAATGGTAGGTAGAAAAGCATTATTTGTTTTATATTCATTATTTATTCTCTGCACTTGACACTTTACAGGCCCCACTAACATGTTCATCTCATATTTACTTAACGAGCACATTTCAGAAATTAAGCCTTTCCATAACTCCCTGTGGAGTGTCACTGAAACTAAAATAGCTGAACCATCATGAGCGTGTCTAAAAAATGTGAACTATTGCATCATTTTCAAGAAGTCACTAAAAGTGAGTCAAATCATTTACAGCTGTCTCAGTTTTCTGTTATCATTTACAACTTCAAATTGCAAAGGCACTGACCAGTAACCAGTTCATTTTTTAGGAATACTGTATGTAATTTTCACAACATGTTGTAATAATATTTTATTCGCTTTTGCTTTTAGAGATATGATGCTATATGATACTAAGTAGAACCGTCTTTGTAAGTCACTTATATTGAATTGTTCTTGCCTTGTGCTTTTTACAATAACGAGAATAATGTAATAGTACTGTCACCTGTTATATTAAGAATAAAAAAATAGTCTTTAACTTCTACTTACTTACTTATTTATCTATTTATTTATGAAGGCAAATCGTTTCAAGTTGAATATACAATTTGAGTTGAATATGTAACATTGCAAAGCAAATGTATAGTTTGAGCTACATGAAAAGAGGGGGAATCAGCTTGTTACATGGAAAAGTATTATGAAGAATTTTAACTTTAACCTCATTATGCAATAATTATAATCAATAATTGAGAATGCTTTAGGAGGAATACTTTTCTGTTGCATACATCTTCTGTATCTGCACCCCTTTAGCAAGCAGATGACATGTCCACACTACTTTTTGAAATGCCCTATTGCCTCCATCACAAGTGTAGCACGTAGCCCTGTATGGTTGCTTATCCTGTGGTACTAATGGCTGGCTTTAAGCTGCAGTTGAAATGTCACTGCATTTGACATTACTTATCAGAGTAATGTATAGGGCGTATCCTAATGCCGACTTCATGTGATTGAGTAAGCGCTCATATCCAGTGCATCCCTAGCTACTGTGCCGCAGAAACCCACGCGCACAATCTGTATTTCAAATTCAAACTTTAACGGAAACCTCGCGGATCAGCGCAAGCCTGAGCCAACGGTTACGGCCAACTGTTCACCGTTACAGCTGAGGGAAATAGCTTACGTTAGTTCTTCCAGCTGAAAATTCCCATAATTGTTCTGAAACACATTAACGTGTCATTATTAATCGATAATCAACTTAAGCTCGTGATTATTTATCATAAGCAACATTAACGTCAGACAGTATAATGCTAACATTAGCCAAGGTTAACTTAGCAGAACTCCACACTGAGGTAGGTTAAAAATAACGGTAAGTTGTGGTGTTGAACTTGCGGAATGCGGAACCACAGTGCAGCTTCGTGAAAAAAAAAGGAACTGACAAAATTGGCATTATACTGTGTGTAACTTAACTAACTCTGTAACCGGATTGATATCGCCAGTACGTTTCTCTCTAAAGCTACCAACGTTTCATATTCCCCCATCCAGGTTCTGGCACTTCACGAAATGACGGCTATGAAAGTTTCCCTTTGCCAAGTGCAAACCTTTCCATACGTTTCCTGTTCAGATGATACGTTTTGGTGCGAGTTAAGTTGGTTCTGCCATTGGCCCTTATTAGCCTTATGCTATTCAGTACATTTAAGCTGTAGGTGTGTGTGTTTCTTCTGAATTTGCAGGCTGTTTTTGTTGGCTAATAGCGTGTGTGAAGGAAATCGTGTAGGTAATTTATTAACTTACAGTTAAAACTCTAATCGAAAATACTAAACATACCATTGAAGTCTTTAAAGTATTTTTTTCTTTAAACATGTTCTCGCTGAGTGATTTAAATGGGATCAAATCTTTCCCGCCATAGTGTACGTCACTGTCACCACTTGCACTGTGGGTATCGTAGTTTTAAAAGATGGTGAAATTATTTGTAATGGATTTGTCAAACTCTTTTAACAGTAGTGGTTGATCTGCAAGCTGTGCTCGGTCTTTTAAGAATGGCCAATAAGAATCGAATGGCTTCCTGCTGGCAACACCTCCATCGGTCACTAACGCAGATGGTTCAGCCTTCGTCTCGTTTCTGCTTTGCAGGAACTACTTCAGGCGCAGGAGGAGAACATGGCGCAGTATTTAAAAGGTAGGATTTTGTGTCAGGGGAGACTGCTTGTAGAACGTCCGTGCACGAGCGCAGTGGTAATCTGACTGTCTATTTCTAAACGAACTTTTTCGCCCCAGTAAATCAAAAAAATATATAAAATAAAAAATTACACGTCAGTCAGTGGAGAAATTTGCACGAAGAATGTGGTCCAGGATTGTTTAGAATGTGCCTGTTTTCTTTTGATCAGCTGATTTGGGTAAAGCGTTTGATTCAAATCAGATACAGGGCTCAAATCCATGAGCAACTCACTAGTGATTGTGTCCAAAACACAGTCACTTTCCAATGTCTCAGATCCAAATTAAAGCAAATCCTAGACTAAAAAGAATGTCCTATGGTGACTAACCTTTTGTGCTGGAATTTAGTCCAAGACTAGCCTCAGTCACCGTCTTGGAAACCAGCACTTAATGTCTAGTATAATTGTCCTTGAGCTGTTGATAATTCATAATGTATTTCCAATGTATTGCATCCGTTTTTGTTTTGTCTCTAAAGATTGCAGTGTCTCTTGTAAGCTCTTATGGGATGACCTACAAGCTCTGTGTCGCAGACAGAGATTAGTGTGCGAGCAGCTATCTGTAACGAAACACAACTTCAATGACTACGAGGTGGAGTACTTATGTAACTACAGAAATATTAAGGTGAGAGGGCCCTAAGGAAAATATTACTATGGATGAAGAAGCTTTTTGCCTCCCCTCTTGACCTGTGTTGCTGTAATGTAACAACATTGATGGCTACATGTGTGGAAGAACCTGTCTTGAGTGTTATGTGTGTATTTTTACTTTGTGTTCTTTCTGTACTGTGTTATAATATATGCTCCAATGTAGGGTCGAGAGTTTTTCCTGGTGAAGTGGAAAGGTTACTCGGAGGCTGAGAACACATGGGAACCTCGCAGAAACCTCAAATGCCCCAAAATGCTGAGAGAGTTTCGGCGAGACATGCGCCTGGCGCTGCTTTTGGCTAATAAACCACTGGACTCCACATCACTGGATGCTTCTTCTGCTTCCTTCCTGCTTCAGAAGGCCAAACAGCGTCTGAAACTTCTGCGCTGGGAGGAACAGCTGAACCGGACCTGCAAGCACAAGGGTCGCATCTTTGTACTCAATGAGGTGGACCTGGATGGCCCTCCCAAAGACTTTATGTACATCAGTGACTATAGGATTGGCGAAGGGGTGAAGTTGAGTCAGACAGCAGCAGGCTGTGAGTGTGCAGACTGTATAAGGGACCCTGTAAACGGTTGCTGTGCAGGAGCATCCAAGCACCGTATGGCATATAATGACAGCAGGCAGGTAAAAATCAAGCCAGGTTTGCCTATCTATGAGTGTAACTCCCGGTGCCGCTGTGGGCCAGACTGTGGGAACAGAGTGGTGCAGAGGGGCATTCAGTACGACCTGTGCATCTTCAAGACAGCCAACGGAAGAGGCTGGGGTGTGCGCACGCTTGAGAGAATTCACAAGAACGCATTTGTTATGGAGTACCTTGGAGAGGTGGGTACTATTTTTGAGAAACATGTCTTTTTTTCGTTCTTCTTCTCATTTACTGCATATGTAAAGCTGTGGGCTGTAGTATGTTTTGTTTTGCCTTTTTGGCCAACTTCTGCTGCTGATTAAGTATGTTTTTATGAAAACCTTGTAAAATTGGTAGAAATGCTGAACAAAAAAGCACTCATCAAGGTGTCATAGAAAGTGTGTTTAATTATTCATGCAAGACATTTAGGAAACTTTACCTTTTGGCACGAAAAGAGAAAATAAACTGAACTATTTTATCTACTTTACTTTTCTTTGGCCTTGATGTGCACTGAAGTCATGACAGATTGTCTTTAAAGAGCCATGATTATCAGAATCAGGATGTGTTTCACTGGCATTGGCGTTTGTCTTTGCAGAAATTCACATGGAGACACACGTACTAACAAGTATTATTTAATTGTTAAAACTCTACTGTAAGAACTTGTCATAAGTTGCCATTCTATTTGGATGCATAAATGCTGCTTGCTGTCTGCGGTGTGCCATCACAGATTATCACTTCGGAGGAGGCAGAGAGGAGAGGAGAAACATATGACAAGCAGGGAGCCACCTACCTGTTTGATCTGGATTATGTGGATGATGTTTATACAGTGGATGCTGCCCATTATGGAAATATCTCCCACTTTGTCAACCACTGTGTGAGTGTGACATTATTAGTCAGTATGAATTCCTCTTAAACTTGACACTAGCAATGCAAAGTTGCTTAAGGCTTTTTTTTAAAACATATGTGTCAGTAACAACGTCTCATAGTATAAACAGTGTTTCAGTACTGTTTGATTTGATGTTAGAGAGGTTCAAGATTTCTACCTTCAGATTATGCAGCCTTTTTTACTACATTGGAGACACAAGCAAATCCTGAGTATTAAGTTGGACTGGGTGATATTGATTAAATTCCATATTGTGAGATTCTTCAAATAAATAATGGAATCAGATGATATTTTAATTTAGCATTAATAAAAATAGCTTCCATTATTAAATTTAATTAGGTCAATTCCTTCTATGTTTTGTTAATTTATACTAAAAGAATGTCTTACATATATTTTTTTTTAATTGGATAAAATTGGACATTCTGAAACACCCTGAAAATGACATATATTGCAATTAACTGTTAGGTCCTGGATACAGTGAGTAAAGTGCACAAAATAGAATGAAAAAGCTGCTTGGCAAGGGCATCACTTTTTATGGGCATTATATCATGCATATAGTGCTCCTAATATATCAAATATATTGCTAAACTGGAAAACAATGTCATGGCGTACCAGTACTATCAATATGTTGCTTAGCCCTGATGTTGTGTGTGGGCCAGTGGATGCCAGTAATAGAACCAACAAATGTAATAGTACTCTAATAACAATTTTGCAGTGCGACCCAAACTTGCAGGTGTATAACGTTTTCATTGACAACTTGGACGAACGCCTTCCCAGGATCGCATTTTTTGCAACACGAGCAATCAAAGCAGGGGAGGAGCTCACGTTTGACTACAAAATGACAAGTAAGTGCGTGACATTATTGTTTACAATTTCATAGCAAAAAACTCTTTGTATAGACTTGCTTATTAATGAGCTAACTGATTTTATTCATTTTTTGGGGACTTGCTTGTGGTGCAGTTGATGAAGTAGATGCAGAGAGTGCCAAAATGGATGCAAGTTTCAGCATGGCTGGAGTACAGGGCACTCCTGTCAAATCTATGCGCATGGAGTGCAAGTGTGAAGTAGAGAAGTGCCGGAAATACTTGTTTTAGTAATATCTTTCTGATGGTGAATACACTACTGCCATCACTTTATTTTATTTTATTATTTTTTGTCCTTCAGACATTTCTTTGGTTCAGTCTTTGTACTGTGTAGTAGTTCTGAGCTCTGAATTTGTTAAAGAATGTTGCAGTAGTTTTAGGTGGTATTTACTGTTCACAACACTGTGGTTTTAGCAGTTGTTTTAATATTAGTTTTATACATGTTACTTTCTACCTTTTTCTAGGGGTGGGCAATATGGGATTATGACAAATATTGTGATGCTTAGACATTTTCATGATACATTATATGTATCACAGTATGCTTACACAGACAGAATGCACTAGTAGTGCCACAGTCAAATACCATCAAATAATTCCAGTGGTTTTTATTTAACATTTCACATTCTGTACTGTGATAAAACCAATTAAATAGGGCTGATAATGCTCTCTTTATAATGAAAAGGTATGGAAGATATCCATGAGATTCTCAGAAAAGCATATTCTGTATCACAATAATACAATTTATTCCTGATGATGATGATAAAATATCATATTTCCCATCTCTACCTTTTTTAAATTCTGAAAAATGCTGCCTGGCAAAAGTCAATAATTGCATGTCCTTCCTCTCAATTTGATATTTTGTTAAATGCTCCATTATTCATTGTTGAAACAATGCTTAATTTGAGAACGGATGAGCTTTTGTGTGCTTTTATTGATTTTTTTTATGCCTTTTTTTCCTACAAAGAATTTTCATAAATAGTTTCACAGATCATGTCGAATAAAATGCAGATAAACCATTAAAGTTAGTTTTGTCTTTCTTAAAGAAGTCTGGGGTAGCCACCAGATGGTGCTAATGTATTCAGATATACATACTGCACACCAATAAAATCCTGTTCACGTTTTGTTTTAGTGCAATTACATGTACGCTTGTTGTAGGCAGATCTGGGAGTGAAGATGCACATTTATGAGAATTAATCAAGATCTAATCAACCTTTCGTTAACAAGCTCTTAGTACAATCATAGACTAGCTATTAAGTGTAAAATGAGGTCAGGGATTACCTCTTGGTCTATTTCTGTTTACCACTTGATCTTTCAGTACTTGAAATGTAGGCTGTTATTTGATAATTGCGCCAAAGACTCTATGGTAGTTAAATAGTGGTTCGGGCTGGGCCCTGTGTGTGGTGTGTGTGTGACAGCTACTTTCAGAAAGAGTCAGCTGGGTGTGCTCCTTTTGGGACCTGAATCCCCAGCTTAGGTCAGTAAGCTCTGTTCAGCTTTAGTTTCCCTACAGGAGGTCAGGTACCTTCAGCTTCCATCCATCAATTCTTTCTCAGTTGCTGTCTATCCCTTCTTTTTCTCTTTTCTTTCAACTGATCTGCCTCTATCCTCTGTCCCCACTCAATAGCTGTCCTTCCCTCTCTCTGTTCTCTCAATTGCACTTCCATGATGTGCTTTCTACTCTGGCTGAGTACAGGCCTTCCTCCAGCCTTTATTGGATTGGGTGGATTTATGGTGGATCAGTCTTTGCTAAGCATAGAGTGAATAAAGCTAGCAGCTGACCTCGCTCATATGGCCTCCGAGATTGACCATCACCATCCTTACACTCATAGCATAGTTGTTTGACCATTGTGTGCTGTTCATGATTTCTTAGTTAAAGGTCCTCTGCAGTCCTTTTCACTGCTGCCTAGGGCCATACAGCATAATTTGTTATCGCAATGTTGGTCTTGGCTACGCTGATAATTTGGTGATATGCATGCTACAAAATCGAGAAATCAAGCCAGACTTTGTACGCTGTGTACTGTGAGCGTGAGAGCATGAGCATCCATATCTGGCTATTCTCGTAAAAGCCACATAATAGATCTTAGTAAAAAATGGTTAGCCTCGTATCCGTATTGTTTAGGCACCTGACAACCAGCAACCATTATGTTAACTTACAACCAGTATGGTAACTTACTGCTTCTTCTCCATATTTAAAAAGATGTTAAAACAAAATCAAAAAACTACAAAAATAATGTATGAAAACGCACCAATAGTTTCAGAATGGGTGAATAGGACAGAAAGTGTTAGATTTCTAACATACTCGAACCCCTTTTGCTTTCAGCAGGTTTCTGTACTCTGATGGCACAAGCAACATATTAGCGGCCTCTGTAATACTGACATGTTTTGCAGACTCACCTTTGCAGGCAGTAGCAGTAGCCAGTTTATTGCAGATTAAGGCCAGTGGTCTGCTGCTCTTAATCTGAAGGTGTTAACTGCAGGCATCTGTGTTAGGTGGCATGTTTACTCACAGGAAAAGACAAGAACTGGATGAGGGGTGGAAAATTGTACAGGGTCAAAGATCAGCCATGTCTGAATGCTCTGAGTTTCCCCTGCATTTGACAACACCAGTGCTATGAAGTCTTACGATTTGACTGACAGTGTTGTTGATAGCATTTTTTATGCTTAACCCCTTCTTTATCAGGTTTGCCTGTTTCTGCTGACAGAGGTTTATATGAATAAATATTACACTACATAATTTTAAATAAATCAATCAATGTGGCTGTAGTAGTTCACCAGTGTAATTGTATTTAACAAATCACAATTCTGAGACTGAACCAGTAGCCCTTCATTACTTGTGTGTAGACCTTATCCCTTGCCATGTGTTTGTGAACTGGTCACTGTTTTGTGCTGTGAAGAACACAATTATATTCCATTTACATTTCTTTTTAAGAGATTTTATGCCACATTAACAGTCAAAAACGCAACAAAAGTAAACCTTTATTGTTGTGGGGGGAAAAACCCTTTAATTTACAGAACAAGATATCTCAATCTGACAGCCAACTTGACATTCTCTCATTTTGTCCTTTTTTTTTTTCTTTTCGTACAACATGCACTCATGAAAAAAATAATTTCTGAGTTGATCAAAGAAGTATTTCAAGTTGATTCAAGAAGTATTTAATTTTTAGTTTAATGAACGGAACTTTAACACTTAGTACATTGCTCACCGAGTAGTGTGGGCATGTTTGTCATGTCTTTTGTTCTTACTTTCACTTTTGTTAGTCGGTGTAAGAACTAAGAAATTGTCTTTTAAAGTATATGCCTGTCTTTTATTGAGACATTGATTCAGTGAGATATGGATGGATATTAGGCACTATCAAATTACTAGAGAGTTAAAAGAAATATAAAAGCATCTTTGAAATAAATAGACCAAAATAGGCACTTAACAGATAAGGATATGAAGGAATGCTGACAGGCTGGTTTTCAAATTAAAATGTGTGATGTATAGTGTCATATTAGAATATTAAAGTTTTTATGAAGATATGCCTAAAATATATCTCAAAAATAATGTACAGACAGTGTTTGTTTCATATCTCAGTATGATTCTTGAATGATTTTGCTGGCAATTTTTTATTTATTATCTACTGAAAATCCCACCATGACATTAAAACTGGAAATACTTTTGGTTGAATAGCTAAACCCTACTGGTCTCATGGACAGATGCAGGTTAAGCCTAGTGCTAGGCCGAAAGGGATCCTCATATGGTAATTTAGTCCGAGAGAGATATTCAGAAATCTGGCCCCAAACGCTGTATTAGCCTTAACCCTGTTTGAAAGCTGAAGCAAAGCCAGCATATCAACATTCGTTTGTGAATTATATTTCTGTCTGTTCATTTGCATTTCAATTATTCTTTCATTTATTTTCAGTAATCAGTGTGACAATGACATTGGCAGACAATAGGAGATAACGGTTAAGGGAATAGCACAGCCTGCAGCCTTGAAGCGGCTACCATTGTCATGTACTGGATGCTTTAAAGCAGACTCTAGATCCCAAATGAGACAGTACCTGTCTTCAAAGAGTTGTTACTTCAGATATGTCATATGGGCTTACAGCACAGCGTTGGGGTATAGAATTATACATCACTGAGCTACTACTTTAGCTATGCCTCAGTGGTAATTCACATCTTTTCCAACCCAGTGGAAAGAATCAGAACTGCTGCATGCTGCCCACTTTACACAAGATGGCAGTTCTGTTACTAGTTTGTATTATTACTGCTTTCATAGAAGCCTTATTATGTCCAGTGGAAAGCAGGTGGTAGCTTAGTTTACTAAATTATTGGCTCAAGTTTCTGAAGACTACTGTAGCATGTCTTGGCTGTTTTATTTAAAATGCTGTTGACTTCTTTTAGAGATGTCTCTGAATCTGAATGTATTTCATCCACTGAATCCAAATATGGCAGGACAAACATTTTTTGAAAACATGTAGAGGGAAAGCAAACTTGATCAACTGCAGAAGTTATGTGTTTTTCATCAGGCAGTCCTTTGTTCACCATAACATACTGAATGTGGCTTCATCCACAGTCCCCCTGGTTCTCTCCCACATTCATACTCAGCATAATCACTCACTCACACATGCGCGGTAAAAAGATGATGACCAAGAGTCCCTCCCTCTCCCCCTTTTGTAGTTAGTCCATAGTCCATATAATACACAGGAAATCGCACAGAGGTCACAGTTATTTTACAAAAGATAGGTTGCCTGAAGCAACTAAAAATGTTCTACCAGGCATTTTTGCTCATTACAAAAATCACTCCCTTTTCGCCCACCCACAAGCCCTCCCTCCCAAACACCAATTTGAGTGCTTGTTCTTCTTTTTCCGATCCTTTCCACATGAGAGTACACAATACTGCCAACCTGTATCTGCCTCCTTTTCCCCCACCCCCAAAAGATACGAAGAAGAAGAAGAAGAAACAAAAAACAAAACAAAAAACAAAAATGTCTTAAAGAAATCCACAAGAATCAAGGAAGTTCCTTTTAATTCCACAGGAAATCAAGTTTTTGCATTCAAGTCTTTCCATTGAACTGTGCAAAATTGTACACTCCAGTGTCACAATTTGGCAATTTTTTCCAGCTATTTATCACCCTCCTGATGCTTTTTTTTTCTTTTCGACCTCAGTTTGTGTGGTTGTGAAGGGGAGTGAAGAATGTCCTCCAAAAGTCAAAGACACAGTGTAATTTTCCCCAGCATTCTTTTTGTTTTTCTCAGTGTCTGTAGAGGCATACAGCTGTTAAATCTTCCTTAACATCAGTAACATCAAACCATGACAATAGAGTAAGGCAGTAAATGCAGATAACAGAAAGAATCATTATTCCCCCTTTTCAGTAGTAGATGGTTGTTTTAGTTGTTGGTGTAGCTGTTGGTTCATTTTTCTGTTATTCTCTGTTTTTCATTGCTACAAATGGAGCAGAAAGGAGTCAGAACACCTCCAACAATCTGAAGACTACCTTGCGTAAAAGATCACAATTGTCTGCTCTCTGTAACATTCGTTTAAATATTACAATCTTTGTGTCCCTGCCTATATCGATCAGCATTCCATTTCAAGTCAGCATTATCTCAACAAAACATTTCACTGATCAACAATTTCTGAAGATGTGTGCAAAATACTATCAGGCAAATTAATTTTAACCCCTGTCCACCCCATCCCCAAATCCTTGACTTAGCTCAACTAATACTTACAGTAATACTTATTTATGGAATATTAGTTTAAATGATGATAATAATTAAACAAAACATATTTGATGTTAAACTATCATTTTTCTCCAGTCAAACACTGTTCATGATCGTTATTTGAGTCTTATATTGTATCCGTTATTAGATCACTGCTCTAACAACTCAATCAAAAATTGAACCAGAAAAGCATATTAATAAACTCTTTTCTCATAATCTAACCTTCCACTAAGGTTTTAATTCAGTCTCTCAATCCTCCAAACTATTGTCACTCCTTCTTTGCTCCTCATTCTATACTATATCTTTTATTATTTTGATTCTGTAATGTCCATGGCTCTTGACTGTAATTTGCATGAAAAGTTCAAATGAACTAGCATATCCTTCTGTGGTAGTTTCATATCTCATAATATATAGTATCTGTTGGGTCAATTCTGATTTGCACTCAGTTATTCCAGATTCAAGTACCTTTATTTTTTTCCTGTGACATGACGAGTATGATTATCTAAATAGTTGACCCAAGGACTGATTCATCCCCAAAAAACGAGTAACAATTAATTACATTCTCTCCAGCTTGGTTATCAGCCCATTTGTAGAACGTCATGTCAAAAATACCAAAATTTCTAAACACTTGCAACACACCATTTTTCTTTTTTTGTCAACTCATGTTATGTTGTCAGTACTAAATTTGAAAACATTTGAGGACATCAACTACAATGCTGTACATTTTTCATGCCACCTCCTCAGTAACTCTTCTGTTTTAATAACAAGACACTGCTCATGTTCCTAGATTCAGGCAAATAAACTTGAAGGCATTAGTCATTTTCTGCATTGTAATGAATTTTTTTTTCATTAGTGAAAATTAATTTATAAATAGAGTTGAAAAAGACATAAATAAATATAGTAAGCCATTACAGCAAAACGTTTAATTAAAGCAGTTAAAGATAAGAGCCAAATGTGATTATGCACTGAATCTGACATAGCTTCAACTACTTCCTTCAGATCAATGATGTCTTTGGTGCATGTAGCAGACAAAAAACACCATTCCTTGTTCTTTAATCTGTAATGTCTAAGAGAATCGGAGTTGCCTATTTTCTATTATTTATTCTAATTGGACACTCCAAAGATTAACATAAATGTACCAGTTTTGGCCAATTTAAGCTCTCAGCATTAACTTTACATGGAGACTGCATACATCATTTTCTCCTTAAACATAATACATGCATGCACAAAATAGTTTTTGATTTCTGCAAAATTTGCACTTTAGTAATTGGTCCTTAAAATAATGCTGTGCAAAGAGTGTAGATTTCTGCTGTTTATTAACAATGTTTTGATATCTAATATATATTTCTGGCTGAATAATAGTCTTCAGGCTCAATTAAAGGGTTTGATAGTTTACATGTGATGCCATTAGATAAAGAGAGGTGTTTATTTTTACAGAATCAATCACATTTGGCCCTTTGTGATTCAGTCCTCATACAATTGGTCACTTAAAATAATTGGTTTGGTATGAAAACAGTTGTTTTTTTCATTATAATTATACCCCTGTTTTTAAGAATGATAGCACCCTCATGCTTGTGGTAAACAGCACTCAGGACTGTTTATATATAATTTAGTGATTCACATTTTTGCCCAGAAACCTTTCCCTTAAAAATCAGCAAGAAAAAAGAAGATAGAACATTTAGGTGACAGCAGATGCTTTTTTTCCATGATACGCACCATTTTAAAGCATCACGCACTGCGTCAAAGGCCACAGTAACAAAAAATGTCCCTCATGCCTTCATCATCAAATACATTTAAACATTTCTTACTGTTTAGTTGTCACCCACAACAAGAGAAAGAATAGTAAAGAAAAAAAACGAATGAACATTTGTCTTTACATGACACAGTAAGGCTCACGGGGTAGTTGAGGTTTAGTTCTACAACAGGGAGGCAGGTGGGCCAGCAGACCCTTCTTCAGGTCCTTGTTAAGGAAAAAGCAGATAATGGGGTTTACCCCTGCCTGGGCAAAACTCATCCACACCGTAGTGGAGAGGTATCGGTGTGGGATGGTGCATGCCTTCACAAAGACCCGCCAGTAACAGGCCACAATGTATGGTGACCACAGCACCAGAAAAAACAAGGTGATCACGTAAAACATCCTGCCAAGCTGCTTCTCTGCCTTGAATTCCTCCATGCCAAGCAGCCGTCGGTTCTGGTTGTGCAAGTTCTGCCTGATGCCCAACAGGGTAGGTGGCATTGGGCCCCGTCCGAATCCTGCAATCCAGTTGGCGGCCGCCTGGCCAGTGGCTCCAGGCCCATGAAAGGTCCAGTTTTGGCTGATGGCTGGAACCATCTGGACGGGCTTCATCTTGCGGTGTTTGTACTCAAAGAGCAAGAGCTTCATGTAGACCACGTGAGTGGCCAGGATCAGCACAGCCAGCATAAGCATGAAGCCCAGTGTGTCATTGGCCTTGAAGTAGCGATGCTCGAAAATGCACTGGTCTTCTTCACGAATGAACTTGTAGGTACCTACATCAAAGACAGGCGGGAAAGCCATAGCAACTGACAGTGTCCAGACCATACACACCACAGCAACACAGGTCCAGAAGGTCATGCGCTTAGAGTAGAACCTGTGATGTGCAATGGCCATGTACCGTGTGACGCTAATGCAGAACAGCATGAAGGCGGCATGGAAGCAGAAGAGCACAGCCATGAAAGCCACCACCTTGCAGCTGAGTACACTGTAGGTCCAGGCTGAGCCATTCTTGATGGACACTAATACAAAGGGGAAGCAGACTGCTGATCGAATGGTGTCAGCCAGGCAGAGGTCCAACAGGAAATAGTATGGGGCCTTGTGTAGGGCCCTGTCCCTTAACACTAGCAGAGAGACCACTAAGTTGCCCACAAGGCTGATGCATATGATCAGCCCTAGAAGGACAAGCTTAACATAAGTGGACACAGCCGATGAAGGCCCTCCACCCACCATTCCACCTGTGGTAGCCACAACTGCTGCCAGGGGGTTACTGGGCCCATCACTGCTCTCGTTTCCGTTGGCCATCCCTCTTTCTGCTCTGACTGCAGAGCTTCTTCCTCTCCTTTGGAACAAACACCTCCTTTTCTATCACCTCCTCCCCCTCCTCCTCCTCCGCCTCCTCCGGCTGAGCTGTCTTTCGTCTTCGTGGTTGCCTCTTGTTGTTGTCTCACATAGAGCAGGAGAAGCTGGTTCTGCATTGCCCCATTTTGCAGTTCTCGTTGGAGCTACTTTTCAAAACTGCTTCCTTTTGTCTCCTCCTCTTACACCTATGAATAAAGTAAAATAGTTATTGTTTTCAATGTGGCAGTAATTTCGAACTTTGCGTAAGCTTTGTTCAAAGTTAACAGATTTTTGTAAAGATGAAAATGTCTGTACCATAAAAGTATTTAACCTGGCACATATATGCTGTTTGAACGGAAAAATGGCTAAAAGCATTGCTACTTTTAGTGGCAAATGCATTTTATTCTATTTCCCCTAAACCAAATATGATAAGACTCATTTTTATTTTATGAAGAAATCCAACTGAAGTAGTGTTGGGACACTATTGTTGGGATGTCTTCACAATTTGTATGATAAATAGAGACTACTTGTATGTTCTGTGTTATACCCATCTATATTGATATATCACGCTACCATTACCATATCTGACTCTATATTCTCACCATTTTGGAGTTAATGAGCATGTTTCCTTTTTCCCATTAAAATCTGCACTGCCTAGTGTACTGACAGTTCTAGACCATATTCATAAAGCTTCTAAGAGTTAGAAGCCTGGATGAGATTATTTTCTTACTTACTAAGACCTTACTAACAGAAACAGAACCTAGATCAGAACTCAGAGAAGCTCACTGAATACAGTATGTGGTCTGTGCTTGATCTCCTTAACCACCTAGTCTCAACCTTAGCATCTTATCCTTCTACACTCACTCACCAGATATACAATTACTAGGCTCAAACCCTGTCTCTCCTGATGCTTTTTCACCTCATGGAAACTACAAAGATTCTGACCATGGGCCACTCCCAGCAGCTCCCCTTATTAGCTTCCCAAAAGGCAAAAGCATGTTTAGCACAGCAGGCATTCAGCTGTGCTGTACTTGCCTGCAAAACTGAATCAGATGCCCAGTGCAGTATATTGAATTTTTATTGTTGGGTCCTGTTTGAGGTGAAGTGCCAAGATGTGCCTGTACAGGTCAGCGAGCTTAGCCTCAAAAGAGGGCGCAACAGCTATTTTAAAGATCATCGAGGTCTCCAGACCACAAGTTTTCCAGATTTTATTTCCTCATCTTAAACTGCAATTCAAAGACTTAAACAAGGTCCACAATCCAGCGTGCCTGCTGTAAAGCAAAAGGCCATTGATTCACCCACTGCACACCAGTGTAGTTGGAGAGGTGGATCAGGGGTCAAGAGAAGTGCAATATAGTGGAAGATTGGATCAGGAGTCAAGAGTGGTGATGAGGATATGGTAAAAACCAGTCTGTCCTCGAAATAAGATGTGTGAAGATAACAGATGCTAACAGATATTTTGATTCATGAAACATTGTTTAATACTGTTCCTCTAAACCCTCCATCTGGACATTTTAGCCTTCTATTCATCTTGTGTACACCAAATGCAATGCTAAAAAAAGCTGGGTAGGCTAATTGATTTTCAGACTGATTCTTGATGCAGAGTCCCTCTACAATCACCCAACAGTGTGCACCTAATTGAAAATAAGCTACTATATTTGATATCTCACAGGTTCAGAAAGTGTTTACAATAATGATGAGAGACTGTGGGAGTGAACCAGTCAGGGTCTGTACCCGACTGATAATCAGTGATCACTAAAAAACTTTTGCAACTTGAACAGATAACAATTGATCCGATTTCCTATTGTTTGTAGCTTTTAACAAATGTTTACAGTAAACTCATTTCCATTTGACTTCTTTCTTTAATATGGGTCTTCTCGAAGCAAATCTGGATAGTTTAGGAGCTAGGACCTCCTTAAAATTTGAACATCAAGAATATACTGCTTTTCCCATTTTAACATTCTTGGCTAACACATTCATGTCCAATAACTAAATTTGGTATGATAAGGGAAAATACCACAGTTTCTTTTTTCTGTTTGGTTTAAAGTGATGGAATTTTGTATTATTATACCATGGATGAACATCTAACACTACTCATTTCGTTATGTACGTATGTATTTATGTATGTACATACCTATAATAAAAATGTGAATTGTCTTATTGTGTTAAAAATCAGTAGTCCAGTGTGACCAAAAGACTGAACTTAATGAGATTTTACCACTCACCATATTATTATTTTTTTTGCTATATGGTTTGATGGATTTGAAACATTTCCTTGGGCAAGCTCTGACAACATATGGACATATGGAAATTTACAACTCCAGATATAGACATTAATGAGTTAGGGGGATAGAAAAGGCATTTATCACTTATGGAAGAAATAAAACTGTTTTGTGTTTCATTTAACTTAATGTTCCTGGGATACAAACTTTTCAGAAACCAGCAACACTAAACTGAACATCAGTCAACATTTCTCACAATAGCCAATCTCTGCTTTTAGTCTTTTCAAAGGTTCTAGATTTAGATAATCATGCCAGATTTATCAACATGCAGCTAATAAATATTTCAGTGGGGTTTATTAGACCTCAAATAGCAAAATTGACAAAATTTCTGGGTTCGCAATCAAATACTAAGGGGCCCCCCAACCAGTTTGTATTTTTGGTCTATTCTAGCCCCCAGAAAACCTGAATCAGGTTTGTCTCTAAAACAGAAACGCTCAAAAAATGACATTTACTTGCAAAACAAAAATGTATGTACAACAGTACCATTAAAAAAAAAATAAGTGGCACAATTTACTATTCACACATACTGACTCAGTTTTCCTTTATCAGGGTGTGAACTGAATTTAACATCTCTCCAAAGGGGCAGATTTGTAGGCTACATGTCAGTTGTAAACACAAATCAATCAATAGTCCCCTGAAAGGGAAAAGCAGGGCTCCTGTAAGCATCTGCTGTAGCATGCTGAGGAACATCTTCTGCTTCCCTCTCAGCACACAGCAGATCAGCTGTTCCCACCACACGCAACATGGCATGCCAGCAACTAGTCTGTCACAGTGATTACCTCACTTGTTGCTAGGTTACAACACCTAACATCACTTTTTGTATGTTGAGTGTGGGTATCTCTGTAGATAGAGAGGCAGAACGATGGGGAGTGGGAAAGAAAGGTGGGGGAGGGAAAGATAATCACCCATGATCTATGGTGAGGTTGAGAAACCATTTAATTATGGAGATCGAGATGTAGGATCCCAGTAAAAAAAAAGGCTAGTTAGTGAATTCAGACAGCTACCCTTCTGTGATGACACTGGGAGCACTTACTGGACCATTTGTATTAGCTGTGACTGGCTATCAGATTTTACTTCAGAACTGTTTGAGATTATTGAGAACCCTAGGTGATTATTACAGAGTATCGGACTCCAACAGTAGAGAGAACAACATCGACCTATTGTTTTAGAGCAGTCATACTAATGTACTTCTGTCACAGCAATTACAGCAGCTTGTTGCTAAGCTACAGGGCCCTTCTGCCTCATGCCGTGTGTGCGTGCGTGTGTGTCTTTCTAAGACTCAATGCACTCAAATTTGTATGTGTTGAGGTGAGGTGGGAGGGGAAGTAAGGCTCACCAGATGCAATCAGCTACACGAGAAGAAAAGTGAATGTTTTGTTTTTTAGATAGTGGAACCAAAGCATACGAGTGCATATCAGTAATCCAGCATTACTTCAAACTGTATGTTCTGTTAAGAAAAAAAAATGTTTGCCTGACAATTCAAGACCCAATAATAATGAGGATAGACAGAAACTACCAGAATCTTACTGAACAAATCTGTTTTTATTTGACTAAATCAAGACAAATTTATGCAAAAGCTGACATCAAACTGAGAAACAGTCAAAATGAACTATGTGTGGTACCACTTTACTGAGACAGGCCTAGGTGTCAAATGTATGTTTTTTTTTACTTTATAACCATCATGTGTTTGAGTGTGTCTATGGCAAAATTCTGGACAATTGTGCATGACTCTGAATGCTCATTATGCAGCTGACAACTTGATTAAAAAAGTAATTAAATGACACTGGTTTCTGGACTGCATAATGATGATGTTACCTACACAAAATATAAAAATACAGATTTTGCACCTGTATTTTAACTTTTGGCAAAGGCAGCTGGAACATATACATTTCAGTGCCCACAAAATGAATGACAGCTAATAATCTAACAGGTGTGACTTCATCCTCTCAAATTTAAAAGGAAAGTAAGATCTTAGGTCTACTTATCAAGACTGTAGATGAATCAGAGGAAACCATATATTTCCAAGAAATATGACACCCAATGTTATATTAGATATCAGTGAGTTTGGGTTGCTCTGGTTATCTACATTGTCAGAAAGGCAGTTGACATAAATGCAAAAAGACAGCACACTTAATTTTGTCAGTAAGACCTTTTGATATAGCAGTAAGTGTAGGTAAACCTACCTACCTACCTATTTATGATAGCTATCTATCAGATTTAACTACTGTCGATGCATTTTGAAGTACCAGTCATTCTAAAAGAAAAAAATTAAAAGGAACAGAAGTTCATCGTATCTATGACTTCTTATGTCAGATCCTTAATGCTGAGAATGTCTATGGTATCCCAGAATGAGTATTATGATGAAAAAATGAAAATATAAACCCTGTCTGATTATTTGCTTTTGTATTCTCTAAATATATTAGTGCATTGAAAATTACATAAATACGTTTGTGAAATTTCTTTTTAAATGAATCATATTTAAAGCCCCCCACCCAATCCACCAGTGATCATTAACGACACCACAGTTAAGCTTATGCAACACACAAAATACGTGTAAACAAAGAGATCGTGCGTTATGCTAATTACTCGTTGATTAACTAATAGGCAAACGTTTAAATGTATATTACGATTGGAATCTTTATGTTTGCCTTAAATTTAATGTCGTTTTAATAGCGAACGCTCCGGGAGGAGTCTGCTAAAATGGGAGTTGGTTGGAGGCAGAAGGCCGCGCCACAGTCAAGAACTGGATAGCAACAGCAGGGCGTTATTTTTTTCCCCACCGCTTTTCCGACACACCCCACCTCCGTGCTAGGATTGGCTAGAGATGGTCCACTTCCAGCGCTGTGATTGGTTAGTAAGGCACACTCACGAACAGTCTGCCGTATCTGAGTATGAACTACTAGCCAATCCTAGCAGGGCAGGGCGGGGCCTGTCGGAAAACAGGTGGGGAAAAATAACGCCAACAGCAGCGAGCACTGCTACCCCTTTCTTTCTCTAAGGGAGGAGGCGACACGGAATGAATTCAACATCCAAAAGAGCCAAAATTGTTTCAACTTCTCCACACAGATCACGTCGGTGCAGCTAAAAACAAATAATAAAATAATAACAGGTTCAGTTCTTAGTCAGGTCTTCCCCTCTTAGTCTTGGTCTGTATTAGGCTATTGTGTAGCCATAAGAATGAGCTGCGCCACACTGGCAGGTTTCAGCGTCTTCTGAAGCCTAGCTCCTCCTGCATTACTCGCACTATAAAACATCATTCCCATGACAAGAAGGGGGGCTGAATATGTGATCGAGAAACTAATTCATGGCTGAGATCTGGTGACGAGACCCTCGCAGCCAATGCCAATGCGTCTAAATGCCTACGCAAAAGTGCAAATGACTTGTATCACAGTGTCTATATGCACGAGACAGAGCAGTCAGAGTCGCACTTATAATGTTTGATGCCTTCATTATGTCTCGGGTTCAGCTCAGATCTGTTTGGGCCACAGGCCTCCATTATTCATATACACAAACAGCAACCGTTTGTGTGTGTGTGTGTGTGTGTGCGTGCGTGCATGCTTTGGTGTGCATGTTTCTGTGAGGGTGAAATAACAAGTGGATAAAAAGGCCTACAGTTCAGTCAGTGAGCAATAAGGTAGCCCCTGCGACAAGAGAGAAGAGACGAGAGACAAGGATACTTTGCCTTTCACAGAAGGGCTCAGATTGACATCAGTGGTTGTTTCTCAAGCCTTTAATAAATGATGCTTCTCCTAAAAATTCTACCTTTATTAAATGGTTCAGAACAAGAGAATGTGTGGTTGTAATGGATGTGATTGATGGATATCTTACCTGGAATCCTCAAGCCTTCATCCGAGACAATGGCTTTGGCTTCGGCTGTGGGCCTGAACGGGAGCTTGTTGCAGTTAGCAAGCCACGAAAACACAGAAAAGGAGGGGAAATGTGTCTTTTGGCACCGACACACCTCACACAGTGGATCCAACATGAATCCAACCGGTAATCCAAGATCGATTTCACGTCCTTTGCCAAGTAACAGAGAGCAGAAGGATTAGATGAATAAATAAATAAATTAATTAATGAATGCACAGGATGGTTACGTCCGTGGAGAAAACAATATAACGCAAAGTTAGATTATTAATTTCATTATTAAAGTCTGTGCGAAACGCCGTGTGTAGTAATTCAGTTAGCTTACGTGCACACGGGTTTCAGAAAGCGAGAAATATCGTTTCCTCTTTTTTCGTGTGCATGTCATGTCTCCGGGTTTTCCATAAAGCCAGCGCGAGCCTCGAACAGTAGCTATATTCCCCTCCACAACCGCGGCACAATGAAATAAATAAATGGAGCCTTGCCAGAATGGTGCACGGAGCTGCTGGCTGTTTATGGGAGAGCCCTGATAAATAATCCACTGATAGAGGCTCGGTGTGGCGGTCAGGTGCGCAGGACTGCGTTCGGAAATAGAGTCTGGAGACTGGATCTGGCTAACAGGGGGCTGTGCGGCGCGGCGCAGGGCTGCTGCTGCTGCTCTGTTCCTCTCTGCCTTTCGTCTTCGTCTCGCTGGAATCTCAGCCGTTGTAGCTACGCACGTTTCTCTTAACGGACCTTTCGGCCCATCTTGTGCCGAACTTAATCCGTTTGATGGGATCAAGCATCAGCCCTGCGCGTGTCTTCACCGCTCAGCCTCGTCCTCTGGCATCCTCATCCTACGGGCGCCCTATATACCTAAACACACGCGTCTGTTTGGGTGGAGAACTCGCAGAAAGAGCCAGTACCCCTCCTCATGGCCGTCCGCGGCGATCACGACATGCGGGATGGAGCCGGATGGAGAAGGAAAACGTAAAAGGAGGAGAAACGAAACGGTTGTTTTTGCGCGGTGAGCGGGGGAGAGCGTGTGCTCGCCCAGCCTCCGGCACTCGGCTGCTTTCGGAAACACTCGGCTCCGCTCGGCTCGGCTGATGCGAACTTCCAGTTGGCCCACATTCCCCCTTCTTATGAATGAGGAATGAGCTGAGTGTGCTACACCACTTTTTCTAAGGTGTTTAATACATAGACCTGGATAGACATACAGACAAACTGATAGATGGGCGGAGGAATAGCTAGATAGATAGATAGATAGATAGATAGATAGACAGACAGACAGACAGATAGATAGATAGATACTCCGCTTATTCTTTCAAATGCACAAACCTCTCTTATTATTAGTGAATAGAAGCATATGAAAGTATGCACATATATGCATGAAAAATCACGTAGGAATGTACAATGGCCTCAAAACGTATTTGAAGATGAAAATCTTCAAACTCCACCTTAAATGCAATAATTACTGTTAAAACTTTTGGACTTGGGTGTGTAGGTCAAAAACAACTGTACATAGCACAAATAACCAAATGACTTCCACATCAAAGGCCAGAAAAGCCACAAAGTTCAAAAATCTAGACCGACATATCAAACGTTTTTCTTTATTTGCCAGACATAGGTGCTCAAGTGCAAAGTGCACAGCAAATAAATACAAGAACTCTAGACACACCTGGGCTGCATTCAGCCCTGATAAAATAGAGCAAAACGTTAAATGGAAATGGTGGTGTGTTGAACATTGTGTTGTGTTATGCAAGCATTGAAATTATGGCAGCTGAGAAGGCCATTATTGGTGCCTTTTTCAAAGAATTATCAGGGCCTGATAAAATTGGTTTAAAATAATTAGCTAAATGAAGTTAATCATATAAACAACCACATTACAAAGTTACAAAGAAGATGGGCCTTTAAAAAGTGTTTAAGACATTTATATCATACTTAAATATGTATTTAGTTCATTGTGTTAGGAAACTTAATATGAAAATAAGTGCTATTTATTTTAAACAGACAATTCCAAGAGATCTGGCAAAGCATTCTTTCAAAAAGTGACCAGTGTGTTTCAGTTATGTTTGAGCAGTTTCTTTGCAGACTTGTACAAATTTGAATCCAAAATGCATAAGTACACGTTTGAGTTCATGATTCCATCAATGAACACAAGTTCACCAACACCATCTTAAGACAAACAGCCCTGGACTTGATGTTTCTGCTTCTGTGCATTGCAATATCTTTAGTGCAGTCTGGTTTGAGGTTTTCTTCAGGGTATCTCTACACTAAGAGTCTACTATTAGTTTCATGTTGTTCTAAAATTGATTTTTTCTGAAACAAATATCATTTTGTTAAAGCATTTTTTGAAGTAACCTAAATAACAAAGTTTTTAAGGTTTACCAATGGTTAAATGTGTTAAAGTGTCCAGATAATTTTGGGGTCCACTATAAATGCAGTATTCCTGTAATATATACTTTTTCTATTAAGAATGAGAAGTAACACATGAAAATGTACAGGGATATAAAACTGAAGTCAGTCAGATTGGAGTGACAGATAATGCTTCTAATCATCTTAATTTACGTGTGTACAATGGTTCCACATAAAATATACTCCATCATCTTGTTGCCAAAAATAAGTAAATCTGAAACATAGTGTTAATGTAATTTATTTTGGAACTGACGTACACATTTATAACCCACTAGCTTATTTTTTCACTGTAGAGATCAAAAATCAAAAACTGCTTCTGAACTCACCACTGTGAGTTGAACCTTAAAGTTTTGTGGTCATATTGGAAGAAACATCACAGTTTATAAAATAAAGGTTATACATAACAAAGCAAGACATATACAGTAAATAGACAGTTGGTTTTTCATCTGTTTACCCAACTTGTATTAAAAACCTTTAAGTGCAGCAGTGATTGAAGGCCATAGGACACTGCAGTCATAGGACTACCTATTACTGATTGCTGATTGCAATCCACATGGAAATCTGATCGCTCTGCTTTGTTAGATGCTTGTCCTTAAACTCTTCATGGTGCGTATTTGATTGAAGCGAAGAGTGTGGCCTGCCAGCTCACCTGGTGGGCCCTTGGTGCAGTAGCATTTAGACTGTCTGTAAGTTGCTGGTAAAAAGGTGTTTTGTCTCTGCGTGACACGATGCTCTGCCGTGTGCCCTTATGCCTACATGAACAGCTGTTCGAACCGCTGGAAGCCCGGAGAACAGATGGCCTCACCTGACAAAAGGAAAAAGAGCCGAGGACACACAAGCAGTCGTTGGAAAGGATTAAAACTGAGGATGCAGTAGTCAGTCTCTGTGAGAGAGTTAAGTGTAACATTAAATATTTAAGTATTCCCAGTTGGATAAAGATTTAATGCTCACACAAGTAATTTTTGAGTTCATGTTCTTAGATGGACTGAAAATCATTTCTATAAACTGAAATCATATGACTAGCATAATGGTAGTTGGTAGAATGAACTAATCCACTGAACAACCTTGTAATGTTATAAAATATGGTATAATAATGAATGGTCCAATATAATATAAGATCCTTGTTCACAATATGAAGAATATTCATCCTTATGTGGGTTAATTATAGTAATGTTGTTGACTATTTAGGCATCCAAGTGTGCCTTGAAGAGTCAACAGTGCCTTATAAAGTCTCCAGACCTACTTTGAAATGGAAGACATGTCACATTTACTCCCTGAGTAAGGTCAGTTTATATCTTTGCATTCCGTGCGGTAGCGCCTCTTAGTGGGCAGAAGTTCACAATTATGATTTATCATTTTTTTGCAGCTCCTTGTTGCACAGTAAAACAAAAAGTGCGATACAAGGCTTCGGAATTTGTGTTTTGTAACATGGACTCCTCAGCACAGAATACCAATACAGGCCTTTTTCATATTGTAATTTCAGCACGAGAGAATTCATTACTTATTTAATGTCAATAGACCACACTTCTTTACTCGTTTGTAGACTGCCACGCTTTTAAGTCTGTATGTCAAAAATAAAGATTAGACTTGTGTTTTGCAGGGGCTATATTATGTATGTCAGCATTTGCTCTGCTCTATCTCCAAAGTAAGAACACATTCATGTGCATAGCGGTTTGAATAGTTTATGATTCATCACAGTGAAAACTAAATACTGCTCCTACGAAACTGTTTGCCTTAGCACATTTGTCAGCAAATGGGCACACAAACAGTGATGTTTATCATATTTTTCGGAGAAATCAGAATACTAGAGTGAATTGACAGGCTATGCGGTGTTCGACCGTTGACATTTGCCAACCACAAAAATAAGAAATCTGAACAAAACAGGCTGTCAGCGTGAAAATGCACGTCATCATTTGCCCCGTGAGGACAGTCCCAGGTGTGCAATTTGTTTTGAAGTTTTTTGTCGCCTTTCCCTTGCGGTTGATTACGTTCTACATGTATATAAATCACCAAAATCATTTGAATGTTGTTGATATTACAGAGATATTGCTGTTGGGTTAAAAAAATAAAAAGGTATCTGAAGAAATAAAGTGGCATTAATTGTTATTGTATAATGGCTTTATTGATAATGGTGATGATGACAACTACAGTGTTACATTAACATTTACAAGTAACACTGTTCTATGACCACAAACACACAATAAGCTTGAACAAAGTAAAAAGCTTGATCTAAGCCCCGATTCACACACTCACGCACAGGAGAATGTGAACCTAGGTCCAAAACTTCACACAAAATCATGGGTCATCTAGTTTCAGTGGCAATGCCACCCACATACAAAGCTCATATCTACTCACAGCTGAATCTCATACGTGCTTCACACCTACAAAGAGAAATACTGAGTCAGAGAAACATGATTCAAATTTTAGATGAGTCATTACAACAAAAAAGCAAGAATTTTCACATAGTAAAGAATGAATAAATGCGATAACAACAGCTAAAATTTGTAATCTCTGGAACATCTGGTACCCTTTGTAAAATAAGCAAAATGAGCTATTAGTCTGTTGTTTATCAGCTAGAGGCGGAAAAATTTGTATGGATGAATGGCATTAGATCCTTTTATTTGTGTATTCATGTCTCATCCAGTTTTATAGGAGAAGACTCAGTGCAATTCTTGCAAAGGAACAGGGCACAAAGTACTAAAAGCAGGGGTACCAATAATTGTGATGTTTGTTTGAGGGGGATAGTATGTACTGAAGAATTATATAGGGCAATCACATAACACCACATTGTACCAGTTAATCAAACCTATGCAGCTACATACAATATAAATTCTCCGTTCATCATACTACAAGCACATATCAAAGTGAATTAAGAACTTTTCATTAGTTCACAATGGAATTAGTATTACATTATTGCTGTTATTTACCTGAAATTTCTGAAAAAATTTCAAAGTACAGGAGTGACTGAAAGTGAAGAATGGACAAATAAAAGCATGTGGTGTTGGCTTATTTAGAAAATCGCTTCATAACCTGGTAGCATATCCTGACATCTTTAGGAATGGCCAGTAAATTGTTAAGTCTTATTTCAGTATTTTTTTTCCATGGAATTTTAGAATAAAAAAGGCTATGGATATTTGCAATCACAGTATTTTTGCAACATTTGTTGGAGTACAGGTTATTTGCTTCAACAATGGTTTGATTCAAGTTTTTAATTGAAAATGACCCACAAATGTTCATATAAGCTAAAAAAGATTTTACTGGCATAGTAAGCAATGGATGACAGATGGCTGTTGTTCTCACCGTCCTTGTGCAACTATTTTCATCACAGGACTGATTAGGCCATTGTAAGTAGATTGTGCAGTTTTCAGACGCGAATGATTAACTAATAGTTTTGCATTTAGAGTAAGGTAATTATTTTCCACACTGTTCACTATTCTGATTTGACCATAAAGTTTCTCTGCATTTCTTGCTGAAAACTTGCAAATTTCCTTTTTGATGACATTTAGCATTTTCTGAGTATAAATACAGGTTGGACATTGAGCACATGCCGCGTAATACTTTGAAAGGGAGGTGACAACTTAAGGTGAGTCTCAGTATGAAAAAGGTGCATTTTCTTATGCAGTGCAAGACCTTATGTACTTGCAAAGTAAGTAAACATTTATTTTTAATATTTTAAAGTAACATATATATGTAAAAATATACATAGTATATACACAGTGTTTTTGTATTATGTTTAGATCTAAATGTGCGTGAATGTTTAACTCTTCAGTAAAGGTGTGACAGAACGTAAAAATTTGAAATAGCATTATCTTCTTTGCTTATTTTGCTACATATAAGTAAGATATATGCACATATACATGTAAAACCTAAAATCACACCACTTCTGATGATTTAAAATAAGTAATCTCAAATACAACTAGACTGAGTAAAAATCAATCTCGCTTGTTTGTAATTTTGCAATTGCAGAAGTAGTTATGTATTAAATGTCATTAGATGATATTTAGTCTAATAGACTAACACTTTTTCAAATAGGAGTATCTAATGTAGATTACAGAAGTCAGTTTTTTTTTCTTCCATATGAGCCTTTCCTAACCACACAAAGTACTCTTGTAACTTCAGATCACCTAGAAGTGCTACAGGTACACAAGACTTTGACGTAGAAGTCTTTTCAAGTCTTTTATTTGTCTTAAAAAAGTCATCATAAAAGATAAAGGATCACATTTTTATGCAAACTTAGTTGATTATGGCCTTTACCATGGAGTTTTAACACCTTGGATGACAAAAAATAAGACTTTTACGTATTTTTTCTTCATTCTTGTCAACAACAGCAACACAGGAAGAGACGTGGAGGCACAAAAAAGTGCAAATCGAAGGTTGTGTGCTTTTGAGCAGGTAATTGTTTTCCCACTCAGTTGTTGTACAATGAGGACAAAAAATGCAATAAATAATTGAGTATAAATACATTTCAAGTATCTGTTCAACTGTAGAGGACTTGTGAATAGTGATTCATAGGTGCATGTGCTGGTTTTGTTTGTTTGTTTCTTGTTTTTCTTGTTTGTTGCTTGGTTTTCATTTTATTTTAGTATAGTTTGTTCAGGTAAAAGTATACATGCTCTTGTTTTTTGTGTGTTTCGTCATGAAATAAAAGATGTCACAATGTGCAGTTTTCAGGGTACATTTGCTCGTTGTGCATTACATGATGTCGTTTGCATTGTCTGTTTCTGCTCTGCATTGAAATGATTCCCTTATTTTTCTGAAAAGCAAAGTATCTTTAAGTATTCATATTGTTATTAGATTATCTAAATTGCAACAGAATCCATTTGTCTAAAAATACTTATGGAAAAACTTTTGGAAAGAATTTGAGTATCAGATGTAGGCCTTCTCCATAGAATATACAGTATAGACATTATACTATATGCAGTATAGATTCTAAAAATCTAGATATATTTTTATGTTTTATTAATGAGATTGGTAAAAATGCATATGTGGGTGGACTAATTGAAAGGTGTGCGTAGTCGCAATGAGGTTCTCTTGTGTTATATCACAGATGACTGTTGTTCATGTTGTATATGTCTTGGTGCGCATCATCCTGAAAATGAAAAACTCCTGAAAATAGTTTTGTTCACATGTTTTTGTCTGTGTAAACAATATGTGGTAGACTGAGTGGTTGGTAGAAACTGATTCCAGAAAAGACTTTTACCAGTTTCAGACCATAAACACTGTTGAATGGCTTTGTGGGAGAGTTGTGCGTAATAACGAAACGTTCCATTTTATGAAGAAAAAAAGAAGATTTGAAGATTTTGGGCAGTGAGTAATTTTCCATCACTGGGAAGGTCATGTCCAAAACCCCTTAGAGCAATTTGTTTATATACAAGCTCCTATCACTAAGCAGAACAATAGCTGTAGGCAGTATGTGTCAGGCGTTTTGTTATGAATAGGCCAATGATCACTTTGTTGGAAGTCTTCCAGTGCTGACTGTTAATATGATTGCAGCTGGCATCTGCAATTAGATATTATAGTTTGCTTACACTCACCAATTTTTATGTAATTCTTTTGTTTTACATTATTATTTATTTGTTTATTTACTGATATTTTGAGGCCATCAGAAATGTTCACTTCTATAATGTGCAACATTCAATTATTTATTTTTAATCCTGTGATCTCAGCTCAAGTGTTTTTTTGTACACAGAGATAATATCAGTAACCACAAAGATTGAGAACTTTCTCTTTCTGTGTGTACCTATATCCCATTTCCCCTTCCTGGCTTGCTTATCTTGTGCATGTGTTTTTTGCAAAATGCAAAGTGAGTGTACATGCATTCGTGTGTGAGTGTGTGTTTGCGTGCGGTGTGTGTTTGTGTGGTTTCCTGAGAGGTGGGAGAGGTCGATGTGCTTTTGAAATAGAAATGCATTTGCTCAACTGCTAAATTGAGATGGGTGAAGGGGTGTGAAAGGGGCTTCAGCTTAAATCCCTGTCTTTGGTGTTGCCCCATGGTCCGGCTTCCCCGTGAGAGCATGTGCTCTGTTTCGACAGCTTTGCTATCTCGTGCCAATGTACACATCCACCGAAGCAGTCATTCTACTTTCATTTATTTCCTTTCCCACCCTCATAATGTTAATGAAGGGGAAAAACCCTTGTGTTGTGTTAAAAGAAAAGCATTTACATTTCTGCCTCAGTCTTCATCTTTTGAGGATTTCTGATTGTTTTTTGCAGATATTGTGAAGTGAGCAAAAATTTGGAACAGCCAAGAAGCCAGAAGTAAAGCATTATCATTACGTAGTTGAAAAAGTTTAGTGCCTGACCTCCTGTTTATCTAGCTTCTATTTAGATGTAAACACGAATGTAATGCTTATAAGAGTTGCTTCTGTTTTAACTATAGGAATGCCACAGTCCAAGAGCGAGAGCGACAGGACGAGGTGCGTGAGGGATGTAGAAGGACGTCGTGTTCTGAAAGAGGAGCAGGAAGATAAGGTTGATGATCTAAATATCCATGCTTCAGTCCAGTCTGAAGAAAACCCTTCCTCTCAGGTAATTGGTGCAGTTTATGATTTTTGGTTTATTCCACATCAAATTATGACAGGTCAGACTATGGATTTCCTTGAAAAATCCAAATAACAAAAAAAAACTATGTAGTTCGTGCAACTATGCAGAATTTCGAAACTAGATTTTCAGTTATAAAGTTTGCCTTAGCAGGATCTAAATCATACCTTAAATATATTATAAATGTTGAGTTTAACTGCATACAGAATGATTCATCTGAGAAGTATTAATTAGTTATAAATACAACACTAAGAATGATATTTCACTTATTCAACTAGTTTCATATGAACGTATTGTCTCAAAGGTTTAGTTTTTGCAGCGGTCTTCTGCGTCAGATTGTGAAATCTTTCATCTTTAAAATGTAATCTTTGTTTAAACTTATTTTTGCAAATTTTTGTGAGGCACTTCTACATTTCTATCAGACCTATTATTATTATTATTATTATTATTTCTATTATTATCTGTATTCAATGTGCAAATTACATTATGAGTTTGAAATGAACTGCCACTAAAAATCCATTTGGGAAGACTGTTTGATCCTATATTTTCTCTAAAGGAAAAGTATTTATTTCCTTCTAATGTTCACTTGAATAAGGACAGTTATACCTCATTAATGTATAAAACATACAGGTTCGTTATGTTTCCTTTGGGGTTTCGTATATTTGTGCCTATGAGGTATTTGACCAAAGAGCACAACAGAAAGAAATAGTAAAACAGCAAATAGAAAAGCATTGGATTTCCAGATCTGTGATCCGATGTGGCTGACCGTAGGTGAGCTAGTGTGGAATTATTTTTGTCAATTTGTTTTAGTGAGAAATATGAAAAATGTTTCATTAATGCTTAGACAGGAAGCCCCTTGCCAGCTAAATGCTATAAATGTTAATGTATCAGTTAGCTATAAATTTGAAAATCTCTGTGTATATATGTGTGTTTGTCTCTGTGTGTTTGTCTCTGCAGAGTGCTGATAAAGCAGCGCATACACATATTCTTCAGTTAGCATTTCAGAGTCCTCAGCTGACCCAGAATAGACCATCTGTGCTCCGTTCCACCTCTCTACTACATCTGGGTTTGTATTGTGGCAAGAAAACATTCAATATTACGTTAAAATAACATTATTATTTTATCTAAGTTCCCTCGAGCTGCTGCTTGAGAACAAGATAAGAATGTATTTGCCTCGTCTTTGCCTCGAAACAGAATGATGAGCGAAGCAGAATACAGTTCGTTATTGTTTAGCAGGAAATATTTGTGACCCAGAAGTTGTACATCTTACATGAGTTATTATTCAAATCATTTACATTTATCATAATATTTAGTCAATTTTATTAAAATTCAGTAGTGATTGGCAAAAGTATTACAGTGCATAATTCTTCCATCACTCATTCATTTCCTTATTGTATTCTTTCTCCAGGACACACCGATTTTTCTCGTTTATCACCAAACGAGTGTGACCCAGCAGTCAACAGTAGAGAAAAGGCCACAGGATATAGCTCTAGTCAAGCTTTAGCTTTCATAAATCAGCGCAAAACACCCAGCATTCAGCTGAACAGGTCAGATTCTCTACTGCTCTTACTTTTTAATTTTTCAAACTATGAATGCAGTCAGTTGCATTTTAATTTAGCCAGCTCATGAGCAGCTCATGAGCAGACCTCCCAGAGCCCATATCTGATGATTGTGTCCGTTTACTGGCACATTTTGCCAATATACATTTATCCTTCACAGCCTTGTCCAATCAGAAGTGGTAAGCTGTCTTTTTGTCAATGGACGGTGCCGTTGGCCTGGCTGTGATGAAGCTTTTGAGGAGTACCCTGTTTTCCTAAAGTGAGTCTTCATCGTTTTTGAGGCGCTTTAGCCAAATTTGCCACATATCTGGCTACTCTTTGCCAGGCCTCTTGGTACCGTTTTTTTAAATAACCATACTTCGCTCTAATTGTCTAGACACCTGAACCATGTACACAACTGTGGAGAAAAAACTATTGCGCAATGGAGGGTACAGCAGGACAGGGTGCGGCATATGGAGAATCAGGTATATATGTAGTTGCATTCAGCAGGATAATCAGTGGGTATTTCAGAAATGAGAAACATTTTAGATTTGTTTAAGACATTGTTCTAGATTTCACTAGATTTCGTCTTGGCAAGTGAAGTCTTAAATCTTGTTAATATATCTAATATTTCCCATTATGAAATTGTTAGAAAAATATTAGATGACATTTCTAGATGACCTTATTGTTTTAATTAATTTTAGATAGAGAAAATGTCTTATTCTGTTGTCAGATGATTGTGCATGTTTAAGCATTATTTATTGAAATATAGTTACATAATGTCTATAATTTTGATTATTTCAAAAAATAAGCTTAAATCTTGTTAATACATCTAATATTTCTCATTATAATATTATTGAAAGAAAAAATAGATAATCTATTTCTAGATGACTTGTTTTAAGTAATTTTATGTAGAGAAATTGTCTTGTTCTTTTGGCAGATTGTACTTATGCATTAAAAGTCTTAGAAGTCAATTAGATGACTATATTTAAGATGTTTACACTAGACATTTTTTTGCAGTGTTGCTAGATACACTGACACCTTTTTATAAAATTATTCATTGAGATGTTTAGTCTTGAAACAAGTGTAGATACCAGTTACTGTTTTGTTTTGTTTTAAATTTTTCTTTGGTAATGCTAAAATGCATTCACTCTGTCTCAGCTCATTCAGGAGAGACAGAGACTTCATGCCATGCAGCTCCATCTAAGGCTGTCTGAACACAACTCAGCACACCCAGTAAGAAAAAAAAAACATATTTGCCCTCACCTCCATTTCCTCAAACTCTCAGACTCTGTTTATCATGAAACTGCATGCAAACCCATCTCTAATTGTCTAATTAACCACAAAAAAATCTGAGATTAACTTTGTTTATAGATGGTCCCATGTCATAGTTTTACCATTTCAAACAGTTGATGTTTCTCCTGTATTAAATGTATGGTGGTGTAATGTGTGGTTCTCTATCAGAGAGCAGGCCTAGGCTGGTGGAGTCCACTGGCAGCGATCATGCCCCCACCCGAGGAGCCAGATGGAGGGGCAGAGTGGGCCAGTGATGCAGCAGGACGCCAGGAATACTGGCCCACGCCTGCCCCTCACCTGCTGTCAGGTAACACCTACTAACACACTGAATTACCCAGGGCTGTCAGGATAGATAACACACATTCACATGTATGCACTTACATGCTAATGCAAGCCCACGCTCATGTCCTAAAAACCCTTTTGTCTTTCATTCACTGAAGATGACATTTTAACCCCCAGTAGTACAATGACACCATACCCATATTTGGATCGTTATAGGCTGTCAGCAGTAACATTTTTTGTCATTGGCATCATATGTTTTTTCCCAAAGCCTTACTTAAAATCCATGCCATAAAATATTTCTCTTCATAATAGATTTCATCAACAGTATGGAATGCTACAAATATGTCAATATTAGGCCTCCATATACCTATGCCTTTCTTATCAGATGGGTGAGTAAACAATGTCTGCAAATAATACAGCCATTATATTCCACTATGTTCTGATGAATTGATGCATTAGTATATGCATATATGACATTAAATGGAAACCCTTAGTGATGTTTTGTCTGCATGATTATTTTTTTCCATAGTCAATATTGGAGGCACCAGACAAGCGAAGAGCACTGAATGAAATCTACAACTGGTTCATTCGAATGTTCTTTTACTTCCGTCACAACACTCCCACTTGGAAGGTACTGTATCATGCTGAGATGTAGTTCAACTCATCCAGCCCATTTTAGTGCAGCTAATTCACAATCCTCTGAAATCATCCTAGGTATAAATAAAGGGTAAATAAGGACTTGATCCCACATCAAAACGCCTCCCACAAGTCATTAAAATTCTGAGAAACCCCAAATGTTATATGTAGGTGTGTTAGATCATCGTCGGCGCTAAACTCTTCTTGCCTCTCTTTTCCCTGGTGGATTGTCCACCCCTGACCCAGAGCTTTATGACAGTTTAGCCATTAGATGGCAGTGTTGACATGAAATCATATCTTAATATGTGAGTCCCCATCTCTGAAGACTGAAACTTCCTTTATTACTGGATTCTACTTTCAATTCATATTCAAATCATTCAATTCAAATCATAGTTTCTGTTGTCTTCTGCTGTCTGCAATTGTTTTTTGTAAGCAGAACGCAGTGCGCCACAACCTCAGCCTCCATAAGTGTTTCGTGCGGGTGGATGGAGGGAAAGGGGCTGTATGGACCGTGGATGAAAGGGAGTTTCAAAAGAAAAAGGGCCAAAAGTTCAACAGGTACTGCATGCTCTTTCAGGGCTTTTGCACATTCCATTCCAGTAGCAAAGGTGGGACCCTACTTCCAATAACAAGATGCCAAGTAATAGATACATGCTTTTGTTTTTTCTTGCCTTGACTGTTGTAATGAATTGCTCACAGGACTTCCTACAACCAGAACAAACTAAGTTGTGCAAAATGCAGCAGCAAGAATGTTAACATGTACTAGAAAAAAATAAGATCATATTAGACCAGTTTTAACATCCTCTACTAGCTGCCTGTTTCCTTTAGAATTGCCTATACAATTTTATTACTAGTTTTAGAATTTCTTAATGGTATAGCACCTTTATATGAAATTTAAAAAGAGTAGTGAAGCAGCCTTTGGTTTTTATATGCCAAAGATCTGGAATACATTATCAATAAATATTCGCCAAGCTCCATCCACCATTTTTCAAGACATATTTTTTCACTTTAGCATTTATAAGTTTTATTATTTTCGTTATTCTCACTGGCCTGTTACTTTTACATTATTTTCATATTATTTTAATTGTTCTACTTTTACTCTATTTTTTACTTTTCAGTTGTTATTATTTTTGTTGTTTTCTGTCATTCCTTTTATTTGATGCATTATTATTATTATTATTATTATTATTAGTAGTAGTAGTAGTAGTAGTAGTAGCAAAATCAAAGCTAGGTTGAATTAGAAATAATTTAGAATGAAAATAATTTTAATTAGTGTATTTTCTTAACCTTGTCCTTCTCCAGTCCTAATCTAGCAGATCAAATGGATTATTGTTTTTTTTGTTTTTTATTTGTTTTTTAGGGACTCTGGTTTGAAATGGCTGACACCTTATCCCCATTCTCCCCAAGTGTCTTAGGTTTCCCCAACTGAGACTCTCTTGCTGTCAATAATGGTGAAAAATGTTTTATTTTATTTTTTTTCATTTGACTTGTTTCAGTGGAAAATGCAGTGGAAAATACTTCATGCAGAATGTTATAATAATGCTAAACGAAATAAATTAGCGTGATTTGCGTGATTAAAGTAGACCTCTACAAAAAATTATCTATTTTTCAAACTTATATGATATTTTTAGTGTTTTGTTAACATTTAAATATAAGCCATGTGATCCTTTTTACTATGCTATTTTTATACTCAAACGTACAATAATCCAAAGTGGTGTCTCATAATTTGTCCTACTGCAGTAATCCAAATATGGGTGAGTCTTTAAAGAAGCTACATTGTATTAATATCACTTATGTGTATTGTGTCTATTATACATAAATGTTCCAGAATACTAACATTCAGCAATGTTTATACCTCAACCTTTAAATGACATTAAAACACTGATAGTGAAAAGACAAAACTGTTTGGAAAAATATGTTTGCAGTGAACAAGCATATTTTAAAGTCTGACTTTGTTGATGTTATGACAGTGCTTGGCCAGAAGAGGGGGACTGTGTGATAGAAGAGGTTGCCTTTGGGTGTGGTAACCCCTTTCCCTCTCAGTGCATTCAGGCAGAGACAAAATACATCAGATCTGTATAGAAATGAGTCAGACAAAATAACATCCAATTCTATGACACAGATTTGAGACTTTTATCATGGACACAGTAATAATGAAAAACACACAAAAAGCATGTGTGGGTGTTTTCTAATATGCACAGTACTGTGCGAATGTCAGAGATGGCCTGTCATTTATTTAATTTCCATTTAAAACAGCCTTTGAGAACAAGTTATTCATTTTTCCAGAGCTATTTCTGAGGAGATTACTTGTATAAGAAAGGGGAAAGTCAGGAAAATAAATGAAATAAAAAAAACCCAGAGCCCAGACCTCACCATCACTGAATGTGTTTGGGATTACTTGGATAATGAGGAGGAGAATGTACAACCAACTAAAACTGAACTTGGGAGGTGTGGAGTCTCCCAAAAGAATGGATGCTGTAATAAAGAAAAAGGGTGAATACACTAAATACTGAAAAATTCATTTTTTTCTGCTGAAAATGAACAACTTGCAATTCATGGAAATTAAATGAATCATCATCTGTGACTTTTGCACAGTGCTGTCTAATAATAATGAAAAACACACAAGACTATGTGCATGTGTATGTGTGTGACAATATTAAATGACTTAACTCTTATGAGTTTTATGTTTTATGCAGCCAGTTTTATCTTTGAAATCTGAATTCATCAAGCCTAAATAAAAAACCCTGAAAACTAAATGCGCAATCTTTGATCTTCATACAGCACACACATGTAAGCTTTTGTGCCATAGCTAGAAGAAGGGGTGTATAAATAAATGCTCTAGGTCTGCACCCTTGCGGTTCTCTGTTTTGTCTTCCAGCTCTGATGAAGCCTTCAGATCCCTCATGTTTCTCCTCCTTTCTCCTTTGTACACTCCCCAGCCTCCTCATACCTTTAAAGCCTTTTGTTCACCACTTCCCACGATCACTGCTGTGCACAGCACTGAGGAATGGTGACTTGTACTGTGAGGTTAGGATTTGAAAGACAGATCTAAAGGAAAGAGTCCACTATTTAAAGCCAGCTTTAATATATAGCGCTGTAGATGAAGTTCAAGGAGACGAGAGGCCTCTGCCATTGGACTCAATCAAGGTCAAGAATACTTGCTATGTTTTATGGCTTGAATTCTCTAGCTGCCACCTAAGCACATCGTTTCATCCTTGCTGTGCATTGTAAATGCTGTTTGGCAATGTCTTTCAAATTCACAAGGAGATTTTTTTTAATGGCCTTGAGTTCTACAGATGCACCATGTCTTAAAAGAGGGTAGACAGCCGCCTCAGGCGCTGAATTTTTTCTGGACCTCAATTATCCTCTGGGCATTTCCTTTAGAGAAATCGTCCCATTATACAGGCTTCTGGACAGCCTCACAAATTCCGACAGCTACCTCTCGCCTTGCCAGGTGCTTATTACCTGCTCTTCCTGAAGCCTCCACACCAGATTCCAAACAGGTGTCTCAGCCCCTGAATCCTGTGTGTTATATGACTACAGCATTTTTATTATCCTAACCCATGATGGCAAGACAGTGGAAATAGCTATGGTATGTGCTACTGGGACTTTCTCTCAGTTTTATAGGTAGAGAAAAGCATTCTGGATAGTTTTGTTGGATTCTGTTTTTATGTGACATTTGAAACTAATGACAGTGTTTCTAAGTATGGAGAGATATGCAGTAGAAAATAATTGGAAAGAGATGTCCTCTGTGAATGGTTCCAGTTCATGAGTACAGAAATCCAAGACATGCTTCTCTAATAATCCAGTGATATTTCACTGAAAAATGTAATCCATTGAATTTGCTCTATTTCACCCTGAATAAAATACAGTACTCTGCAAGTCAAAGACCACCCCTTATTATTTTTTTTTTCAGTGAAAACGATCATTAAGTACAGATGTATGACACAAGAACAGGAATAGAACATTATTTTTTTTTCAGTATTTAGTGTGTCCACCCTTTGCCTTTATCACAGCTTCCATTCTTTTCGGGAGACTTGCTTTCAGTTTTCCACTGAAATCTGCCGAGATATTTTTCCACACCTCCAAAGTTCAGTCTTTCTGCTTCTCATGATTGATGTAATCCCAAACACATTTGATGATGTTGAGGTCTAGAGGCCAGTCCATTGTTCTGAGAACACCAGCACCTTCTTTGTTTGATTGGTAAATGTTCTTTTTTGTCTATTTCTTTTTCTCAGTAATGACTGCTACACATCCTTTCAGACTCATAGTGTTGAGTTAAGGTCAACAGTGGAAGGACGGACAGAAACACCTGTGTGTGTTTTTAGATCTGAAGCAAGAATGGAGCTTGATTTTCTCCTTTCTCCCAAAGATGATAGTTTTAAGTACTGTTTATCTGATGGTAGCAGTTTAAGTGGTCTACCAGGTTTCATGTGGTTGTTAAAAGTCTTACTTATTTTCCTTTGAATTTCCCCTTGTTTATGAAAGTGGAAAATCTTATAGCTGATCTCCTTAGAAATGTCTTCAGAATGAGTAACTTGTACTCGATAGGCCATTTTTGGCTGGTTAGGTGAATGGTCCTTGACTTTTACACTATACTGTATATTACATAAGCACAATTATGTCTTTTAGTTTTCTTACTTGTGACAATAATAATGACGCAAAAAAATGTATTAATGAGGAAATGAGGCGAACATTTGAATCAAGCATAGTGCATTACTTTTTTAGTGTACTGTCATTGGGTTGGAGAATCAGAGAGCTGCTTAACTTAAATTTATCGTGGAGACATATGCCTACAGAATAACTTACCATTATAATGGCCAGATGGCAAATATAAAAGTTTTTTTAATAGATAAGAACCGATTAAGGGGCCATGCCGATTGAGAAAAGAGGGGAACTATTTTGTCAAAACCCATCACAAAGTTGTGTTTTATGTTCGTTTTTCTTCCCTTTTTGAAGGGAAAGACATAAATGAGAAAACGTGAAACGAGCCTCCAGCTTTTGTTTCAAGTCTGGAAAATGGCAGCCTCTCATGTCAGTTGGCCGTCGCTGACTGAGCTGAGGACCTGGTATTTCTGACAGGTCGAGACACAGATAAAGAATAGCTGAAACGGCAATCCTGAAACCCTGATTCCACTTCACAGAGAAGTGCTAAATCTTCCCTAGACAGGAGAGGTTCCAGATTATACCCTCACTAGAAGACCTGATGCCATGAATGCTGCATGCACTCCATAAATAATCTCATTGTACAGGTTTAACTGAATCGTCAAGAGGATGTGCCACTATTTTCAAGGTGTGCCCTTTGAAAACCACAACTGTTCCTGCTCTCAAGGTGTTTTCCACAGCGAAATCTCACTGACGAAATTTACATGTCTTTGATCTTCTTGATGCCGTTTGATCAAGTCATACAGACATTTCGGTCTTTATGAGGTGTCCTTTGGCGCGTGCCTCTGAATTCCCATTTACGTGAAATCGCACTTTTGTCAGCAAGTTTGTTTAAGCTTGTGAAGATGATATTCACACTTAAATTCATAAGTGCCAGACATGTTATGTTCCATTCATATCCCTTTGTCTTGGTATATGACGCTGAAGGCCCCGCGTGTCAACAAGTAGACATCCATATTGCCCTGTCTCAGCAGGAACAGGGCCAGCACTGTTTCACTTCTGAGGGAGTGTGAGCAGTCTGCCCTCTCGCTGTGTTTTCGGTGGGATTATGGGGCTAAAGGCCGAGATTAGCTCACAGCCTGTCTGCCTAAACCACTAAACCTCACATCCGTCAGGAACCGCCTGTATTCTGAAACGCTCACGCCCAGACAAGATAACATCAGTCGCCCCTGAGATTACACGCTTCTGCTGCCGCTGTGCATTAGATAAAGACTTTTTATAGCACCATGGAAAATTAATTACAAAGTCAGGGTGATGAAGATATGAGTTAAAGAGAAATTCCATCTCAGTTTCGTTTATTTGCATGTTTTACGCTGAACTGTGCACTCTTGCCATATGCAGCAACACCATGAAGCCAGAAAGTAGTTAACACACTGTTACTGATTTTTCGTAATGCGAACTAACATTTTATCTTAATTAGCATCATTTAGATCCTGCTATACATTTAATTGTGCTCTTGCCTGAAGCAAGAATCTCTGCATCTCTAGCACAGCATGTTAAGTACCATAATCGAAGCACTATCAGCAGAGAATGAGCACTCTTTTAACAGATGTGAGTAGATGTTCTCTTGTAATAGATGTGAATGATTATCAATATAATGCAAAGAAGAGCTTAGGGCTGGCGCAAAGACTAGAATTCATATCCTTGCTCCTTAAGAGGCTTAATAACATGATCACATAGTTCTGTAAATCCCCTTTTCATTTGATGACCTTGCAAGGACGAGGCAATTCAAGAGAGACACAAATTTCTTCAGGCTCAGCCCCCAGACCTCATTATATTCTCCTCAGAAATGGCCTTGCTCATACATCCATACATCTATGAGAGGTTTCCGCCCCAAATTCAGACATCAGCACGGAGTATCGGAATTAATTCCAGCAATTCCAACCCACTGCCTCTTATTTGTTCACAGGAAGGAGCTATAAGATTTCCTCCACAGAGCCATGGTCCCATCCAGCTCATGATAAAGGAGCTGGGGCGAGAGAGCATCTCAATTGCAAAGCATCTGCACCCTGCTCTCCTCTTCACCTTGATGTTGTCAGACATGTCGGCTTTTGAGGGAATGAAAGTGCGTCTTCCAAGAAGAGCAGATAAAAGGGTTTCTGGTTTCCATTTGGGCGCGGGGAGGCTCGCACCGCGGGGCATGGCAGCCTCTCTGATGCTTCCTGACAGGCCCAGGACTT